AGAAGGGGTATGAGTTCATGTTCGTCAGAAGGTCCTATCATAATCAAATCAGTAGCCACCCAAACTCAGCGCATTTCTGTAACTTACGTAGATACTGTTTGGCTCAATGGCGTCCGCAGTCCACTTGGCCACAAGAATGGCCAGAGAGAACGGTAGAACATAATCCAAGCTGCCGGTAAGCTCGAACAGAATGACGGCAAGTGTCACAGAGAGTCGGGTTACACCGCACATGGTTGATCCAGCAGCAATGAGACCGTACACTCCGGGCTGGATGCAGGATCCCGCCTCCTTCGCGGCACATGCACCCCACAATCCAAAGTCGGGCCAAAGCAAAACCATGTACTGCACCACATGGCCGACAAGTCTGCCCATGAGACCACCGACCACCATGGACGGAACGTAGATACCAGCAGGAACTTTCTGAGAGGGTGTTAGAGTTGTGATCAAGTTGAGGAATGGAAGTACCTACAATGCCAAACGTGATGATCGTCAAGAAACCCTTGATGAGAAACGCAGTGAAAAGGCTGAGGAGCACAGGTGGAATGTCCTTCATAGCGGTCGGGCAAAGTCCATAATCTTCGCGATCGGAGCCGTCATGACATGGGGCCGCAAGGTTAAGCATCAGCTTGGCAACAGGCTGTTTTGTGTGGACGTTCCAATAACTCATGATGCCGGTAACGACAGCAACCAGAAGTACCTCGAGCATTGGATACGTCTTGATGAAAGTGATTCTCCTGAACGATTTGGCCCAGTGCTTAGAGGCTTTGATGAAAAGAGCACCAGCAGCACCACCGAGGATGCCAATGACAATGTAGAAGACGATCTCAAAGTAGTGCCAATCTGCCACATACTTGACTTGGAACATTACAATCTTGTGTGTGCCGTAGGGGTTGAGAAACTTGAGCGATAGTGCGGCCACGATGCAGCAGAAAAAGGTGCGGAAGAGCGTCTTCGCTGGGAAGAAATATGAGACTTCCTCGAGACCGAAGAGGACACCTCCTAGAGGAGCGCCAAAAGCGACGGCCACACCTGCAGCTGCAGCTGCAGACAACACCTCGCGCCTCTTGGCATCGTTCTTGTCGTACTTGGAAAAGAGGCGGCAAGCAATGTTGCCAATGCAGGTAGCAATGTGCACGTAAGGGCCTTCTTTGCCGAGACTGAGGCCAGACGCCACACTGAGAATGAGCGCGGCAGACTTGATTACCAAGGTTTTCACACCAAGAAAACCGTGCAAGACGAAACCACTAAGAATGACACGCACTTCGGCCACTCCACTTCCGGCAGCAGAGTAGTACACCATTGGGGGAGGTACAGCGGCCTCAATCGCCTCAACGACTTCTGGGGGAGTCGGGCTTTCGTCGCTCGTCGGTTCGTCTGCGTAAGGCGCAAGCTCTGCCGCGAGGTTTTCGTCGAACGTCGTCATCCGATATGCCGAGGGCACCACGGTCTTTGTGGTCAAAGTCATGGCACAGGCGATACCTGCCAAGACGACGCATCCAACCAAGTAGATGGTGAATTCGGTGCCTACATCTCCAAATGGCCAAAACCTCAGGACCTCTGACCAGGTCCGCCAATCTTCGCAAGGGCCTTGCTTTGGACAGCAATTCTATATATAACGTTAGCATCTTCTGAAAGTCCTTGGGTGCAGTAAAACATACTCTCTCGCTAATGTACCAGCCCCGCGCACAATATCCGTACTTATAATCGAAGACAGTCGCTTCCGATAAGTTGACTACGTAGGCGACAAGGGCGACAACGAAGCCGCATAGTGCACTCAAAATCCATCCTTGAGAGGCGTCGAAGATGGCATATGACCTTCCCCGAAAGTCCTTGCGCATCTTCAGAGCCTTGACTCGGTGGGCATCTATGATATTATCATGGACCCAGTCGGTGGATGTAAACTGATCGTACCATACGCGCTCGTTGGGTTGTATTGACCGTTTCGACTCGCTCATCGGATCGGGAAAGTCGGAGAAGGCATGTGAGAGGCGCTGGCCCAGGGACGGGTTGCGACTGTGGTGTAAACTTCTGATGCTTCCTGGGATAGCGAGGGTACAGGTTAGCCTTTTTGGATTCTCGGTTTCCTGGTACAGACGCAGCATGTGAAAACATGGGGACAACATACCGGCAGTGCTATGATTTCTCGACAGGCCCGGAGTCAGATACTTTGGGCTCTCCGGACCGGATTGTTGAAGACGTCTTCTTGATCTTGCGCCACCCAGAAGCAGAGGGGAGCGCTCATCCGGCTCTCCTCCGACCGAGCTTCTCCGAGAGTCGAATCTCGGTCGTCGCGTACTCATCGGTGAGGGAGGGCCCGAAGGCGCGTTGTCGTCCGGTAATTCCGCCATAATTGGGCTGACTACGCAGTAGGTGTGTGTGAATACGGCTCGAACCGTTTGAGTTCTGGAGTTTGTTTCGAATCCTGAATGTTTCGACTCAAGCAGCAACTTTTGGCGGCAGGCCAGGCAAGGTTGCTGTTAGTTGGCAAAAGAGCGGAAGCTTGCAGCTTTCAACAAAGATGGGATAGCATTCGACGCAGTCAAGTAGTCTAGGCTCTGGGCTTTGGAAAACGATGATCAGGGGTAGCATCGGAAGCCTCGAAAGGAAGGCTGTCCTGACAAGCAAGCTGGATGGTTTTAGGTTGAAGCAAGCTGAAGTTTTAGCACGTGAACCTAGTGAACTTCGTAGGTGTTCCAAGTTCCAAGGCTGCAGACAACCTTGAGGACAGCAAGCGCAAGGTTCGGGGAGGCGGGAGACAGGATCACGACGTGGGGTTCGGTGTCAGATGCGACGAAACGTGTAGGCGGATGACTATCGCGGGCGAGACATGTTCCTTGGCGTGTATACTGCGTCGCCGGGTGTGTACACGGCGGGGCCGGGGGAGAACACTGGAGGGTGGGAAAGACGAAAAAGAAGGAGGAGGAGGAGGATGTTTAGGGGAAAAGAAGAAAAGTAGCCATCTACTTGAAAAGAAGCTGGAGAGAGAGCCGCGAGGCAAAGAAATGTGCCCCGATAGTTTCGTAGTCCTACCTATTCGTAGCACGAAATACCCAGACGTGTGCTAGAAGGTGCGGCAGGCCTCGAGATGGAGCTGTCGCCCATCCACTTTCCCGAATGCCCCCCAAGGGACACCGAAGGTTGGCCAGGTTGGGCTGTGCACCGTTATTGCGCCGGGGGCACGCGTGGTAAGTTGGAAGAGCGTGATCCACCTTGAACAGTTTGGCAGTGCCGCAAAGTGTGTAAATAATTCGTAGCGGTGGGAGGGCGCTCTTGGCTCTGAGGTCATTTGCACCGGGTGACCCTTAGGGTGGATGCCTCTGTAAGACATTTAGACGCAGTAATTGGCCGACGCCTAGCGCATTTCCCGCCGAAACGGTCAGATCGACCGAGGACCCTGAGATTGCACCATTGCGGCCGTCCCTCATTCTTTTTCACTACCTAAGGTAAGTACGGAGTACGTATTGTTCCTCCATTGCCAAAACCCCCCCCATTCATCCATTTTTGCCCGCTCCCTTCCACCGCCTTTTTTCATCCTGGATGGCACCGAAGGCACATACCTAAGGTATAAGGTATTTCACCGTGCTTACTTACCAACGTGCGGTGCGCCGATGCCAACTTATCCTCCATACCGCCTTCCTCCAGGGCATCATTCCGAGTGCAATCCGTATCCAATCCCACGTCTGCAAGGTGCGTGAGTCAAGCAACTGTCAATCCCGAATCCCACCCTTGTCCCGTTCCAGTGCCTCAAGTCTTCGGTCACGGGTCGCTCTCCACGTCCCCATCCTGGAATGTTCCGAACTCTGCCCATCCTTCATCCAACCATCCAACCCTCCAGCTTGGTGTGGTGCTTCGATTGCTTTGGCGTTAATCCTATGTTGACTGACACTATATTAGTCCCAAGAGGAGTCAGCCAGTGTCGGTCAGATTAAGACATGACACCCTCATCAACAACGACACCAACGCAATCAAACCCATCGCCATCGCCGTTCCTGCCTGTCATCTATTTTCAAGCAGACCGGTCGATCCGTTTAGTCCTCGTTTCCGAATAATTGGATTCAGAAACAGAGCCGAGGCCCATTAGAACCAAGATCCTGGGCCTGGTCCGGTTTTCGTGGTCCTTCCACTCGCAGAGACAGAGTGAACCCCAGGTGCCTTACATAAGACGAGCAAGCCAATCACATGCCACGGTGCCAGTGCCCAGTTTTCCGTACCGTCGAAGGCGCTCAATACCAGCCGTAGCTCCGTAAGCCACACGTGCCCTGGTTTCTTTAACGGTGAGGTGTCGCGACGCTGCGTGGCTGCTACCGTTCGAATAAGGTTGTGTTATGTATTCTAGTTTCTACCTTATGCGTGAGGTCGATCACTGCCAAACCCCCACGTTTCTATTCCAGTACCGACAATTGCCCGTTTCCGCCACCGTCAAGCCGACAACGCGACGCGCGCCACGGTATCCTTGACGTCCTTCTAGGTAGTTCATCACCGTAGCCAAGTGCCGTCAAAGTACACCACGCATATCAACTTGGCGCAATTGGACTTTACGGCGTGCTCCCAGTCGGCCGCTTACATTAGCAGGCAGCCACGGCATCGAGTTCACCCTGGGTGCTAATCATGATTCGGTGAGCTGCGGACCGGCGTCGTCGATATGTCGGAACCTGGGGATAAAAAGTTGACGGTGCCGAAGTTCTCGTCGTTCAAACCCAAAGTCCCGGCAGCAGCACCAACTTCTTCAAGTGAACGTTCCCGCGACCGGAAGAGAGATAGAGAAGAGAGGCCTAAAGAAGAACGAGCTCGTCATGAGTCTTGGCGTCACAATGACCGTTCGAAGCATGAATCCGAGCATCGTCGGCAACATCGCAAACGAAGTCCGAGTCGCAGTCCCAGCCAAGAACGAGCTCTGGTCAAGAGAGTCGAGGTAGCACCCCTTCTGAAAGACAAGCCCGGCGATGGCCATTTCTTCTTTGACAAAAAGGGCGACCCCTTAATCAGAAGATACGGCGGCAATGATCGTTCTCGTGTACCCCTGTACCGCCGCAGTGGCCGCGGACGAGTCCTTGGCTCTGGTGGATATCTGTACATCCATCGAGACGGTCCGCAGGAGCGCTTCAGTATTCAACAGCCGGGAGAGGGAACCTCGACACTGCGAGATCGAGTTCTTTTCCAATCCAAGACTCACCGTGCAAAGCCGTTACGTATACGCGTACGCAGCAGTCCCAGTGGCACCGATGCACATCTTGTTGAGGAGGACTTTGTTCCACTGAGCAAGTCATCGAAGCGACAGCGTGCCGAGGAGCCGGGATCATCAGAGGACGAGAAGACGGCGTACAGATCGATCAAAGGCAAGGCCAAGGCTCATGAATTTTCTGACAGCGATATCGACTTCGATTCAGATGCCGAAGATGGCGAGTTCGACGTTGGGTCCGATGATCCCCTGAGGCAACGGTCGATCCAACTGTCCCGCCGGGTCAAGGAGCATCCTGGAGACATTGAAGCCTGGTTTGAACTGATCAATCACCAAGACGTGCTACTGAATTCGGGCGGGAGCCTGGACCGAGATGCCACCAAAGCCGAGGTTCACAGCTTTGCAGAAATCAAAATATCAATGTTCGAGTCTGCCCTATCTCACGCAAAGAAGCTCGAAGACGAAGAACGGCTCTTCCTTGGCTTGATGCTGGAAGCAGCACAGGTTTGGTCCTCCTCAAAGCTCGAGAGCCGCTGGGCGGATTTGGCAAAGAAGCACGATGATAGCTTTTGTCTGTGGAAGGCTAGAATTGACTACAAACTTGCGAATTTGGTTGCGTTCCAGTACAACGACATAAAAGTCCTGATGGTCGACCGATTACAGACCGTCTACAAGCAAGCCATGGTGTCAGTGTCGCCCGGGCCAAGCCGCCTGGCAAGCAATGCAGAGACTAAGCGCTACGAGCAGATGGTTTATGTCTTTCTCAGGACAACCAGGTTCATGTACGATGCTGGCTTCCGTGAGCTCGCAGTCGCAGCGTGGCAAGCGCTCCTGGAACTAAACCTACAACGGCCAGCGGTCTGCGACACCATGGCAGAACTACAGATAGTCAGTTCGTTCAAAGACTTCTGGGAAGACGAGTCACCAAGAATAGGAGAAGACAATGCCCTCGGCTGGAACCACTACGTCCAGATGGATGGCGTTGTTGACCCTCCAGAACCCCGCACAGACGACGATACTGTCCCCAAGTCGCGAGACGTGTACAAGTCCTGGGGTGCAACGGAAAAGCTTCGAGCGACGAACTCAAGGAACCCGGCACGAGCTACAGACGATGTCCTCGAGGATGATCCTTACCGTGTTGTTATGTTCTCGGACATTGAGGAGTTACTATTTGTGATCCCGTCAGAGATCATACCCTCACTTTGGAGGCCTCTAGTTGATGCTTTCCTGCTCTTCTGCGGTTTGCCCACTGCGTTCCGGACCAGTGACTGGACGGAAGCTGCAGAGAACGACACAGTGGTCATGAGCAATATGAGGCTACTTGAGAAGGACGTGCTTCAAAGGCCCAACGAACCCGACATTCTAGATGAGACCAAGAGAGTTCCGACATTCAAGCAAGATGCATCTCGGTACGCACTGTCGGCTGACTTGCTATTTGCTGGCCCCGGATGGTTTTCGCCGTTTTCCGGATGGACCAGTACATCCAAAGAGTCTGATGGACCCGTCACCATAGCTACTGTCTCCAATGCTCTTCGGTTGCTGCTGAAGTCGAGCAGCCGTCAGGAACTGGCCGAATACTCTCTGGCCATTGAAGTCGTCAATGATCCCAGTAACACCAAGAAACGCGCAAAGGCTCTCATCAAGCAAGACCCCTCGAATCTCAGGCTATACAATGCTTATGCTCTCGCCGAATTTTCCAACGGCAACGCGGGAATAGGTCTCCAAGTTGTCGGTTCAGCGACCGGCTTGATTACCGTAAGTGCTCATACTGCATCAATGTCCATTTTATTGACCAGGCTCTAATGATCATCTACCAGACCTTCAATAACGTCGATGGATCAATGTTATGGAATACCTGGGCTTGGCTGGAGCTCCACGGAGGGAATAATGCTCAAGCCTTGGTGCGTATCTGTGCTGCGGCAGATGAGTCCTGGAGAAATGCCCTTGCAATCACGCCCTCTCCTTCACAACTTCTCAAGGTAAATCAATCATTATCAGCTACTCTGGAGCATCAAATGTCTACGAAGCAGCTCAATGATGCTATAGCTACCGCGGAGAGCTTGGCATTGCTGGCCTACCTCACAGCACAGGAAGGATCTGAGCCTACATCAGAGGCGCAAGGAAGTGTCTCGGCTGCGATGGAGAGAATCTGGACCGCGTCTTCAGAATTGTGTGCTCAAGGTCATGCCAAGTCGTCGACGCATGAGAGACTTCTTCAAGTCGCTGCGAGGCTTCTTTACCACCATGCAAGCCGAGGGTAAGCATGTCCCAACTCCTCCAAATGTTTCGAGGCTAACATCAAGGCAGGCCATTCCGACGTGCGTATTTGCGAGATCAGCTCAGTCAGTGCATTGAATTGTTTCCACGCAACACAAGCTTCTTGAGCCTGTTCTCTTGGGCGTCAACCACGTTCGGCATTGACGACCCTGTTCGTGACATCCTCCGAAAAGTCGCTCTCACGAACGCCAATGACAGCATTAGCAACCGTGTCTTTGCGATTCGATATGAGCTACAGAGGGGCAACGTGTACTCCACACAAGCAGCCTTTGAGCGGGCACTAGACAGCCCAACATGCAGGTCCAATCCCGATCTCTGGCGATGCTACATCAAGTTCAGCTACGCGAGGCAACAGCTTAGGTCCAAGGCAAAGGATGTGTTCTTCCGAGGTCTTCGCCATTGTCCGTGGTCAAAGGAGCTGGCACTCGAGGCCTATACGACACTTGTTAGCGTGATGGACGAGTTTGAGCTGCGGTCCGTTTTCAATACGATGTCATCCAAGGGGTTACGGATACATGTTGATTTAGACGAGTTTTTGACCCAGCACAAAAAGACGTAAGGAGGGAGTCAAGGGAGCTGATTGAAGGAAATTGGCAGACAGCGAGCCCAAAGAGCCTGCTTAGCATAATAATAACACAATGCATTGATGAATGCTATGACTGTGACTGATGAGATGATTCAAACGGTGAGAGATGATACACCTGCTATTCATCAATTGTATATTGCTGCGGCAGGGTATCAACGGTCTAACGGCCAGCTATGTTAGCCTGAGCAAAGACTATCCGACTCTAGACTGCAAGATTGCAGGATTAGGACGAAGAGTCACAGTGGCAATGCAGCCGCAGCGGAAAGGGACCTTGAAAGGGCAGGCTTTTGCTTGGTTTGTAATAGGAACCGGGGAAATGTGAGGTAGTGCGGTTCTGATGCGGAGTGACTCATCAGCCATACAGCGACAATTGACTCTTTTTGTACAGCCCGGACGGTTTGAGGCGAATCAGGGTCCACACAGCTCGCTCGGTGTGCCCCGCACTGCCCGGCGCCCCTCCCTCAATGGAAAGCAAACCTGAAAGCCCAGAACGGAGAAGGCAGGGCCCATTGAGTGTGGTAGAGAACTGGTGCTGAGCAGTGGACTGGCAGCAGCGGTCGACCTGAGGTGAGCTAAGGCAATTGCCCCACCCTTGCTCTCTATCGATTGTCGCTTTTTATTAATTGCGACTTCCGCCACTGCAAAAATTCCATCACCAACACCACCCTCACGACAAGATCCTTGACGAACGACAATTTTTCCACACGACCGCGCCAAGGGTTTTTCCTCTTTTCACGAACGAAGCATCTTTTACGAGCCTTTATAGCCGTAAAAGTCACATCACCTTCAAAACCCCAACAATCAGTAATCGAGTATCCCCCGAAACAACCACAATCATGGCGGTGCGCGCGCAATTCGAGAATTCCAACGAGTAAGAGAACCCCGCCGGATCGACCCCGCCATTGTGCTGCACGCTTTTGCTCCAACAGCCCGCGCACTCCGCGATACTTCTTGCATAGAACCAGATGTGCTGACGCGAGACCTTTTGCTTCTTTTTAGAATTGGTTGCTTTGCAACTCTCACCAACTCTTACGCCCTCGTCGCCCCGGGTGCCAGCGAGAACTTCTACAGCGTATTCGAGGCCGAGTTGCAGGGTGTCATCCCTATCTGCAGGGCAAGCATCGCCGGTGTTCGCATCATCGGCCGGTTAACAGCTGGGTAAGCAACAAGCGATGGATCCTTTGGGGGGTCTTGCGTTTGGCATACGGCCCCGCAACCAGTCGAGAGCTCAAGTTTTGCTGACTGGCCTTGACTTCTAGCAACCGCAAGGGTCTTTTGGTTCCCAACACAACGTCCGATCAGGAGCTCCAACACCTCCGGAATAGCTTGCCAGATGAAGTTCGCATCCAAAGAATAGAGGAGCGCCTTTCCGCCCTCGGCAACGTCATTGTTGCTAACGACCACATCGCCCTCATCCACCCAGACCTGGAGCGCGAGACGGAGGAGATTATCGCCGACGTACTCGGCGTCGAGGTGTTCCGCCAGACCATTGCCGACAACGTGCTCGTCGGCTCGTACATGTCGCTCACGAACCAGGGCGGTCTCGTGCATCCCAAGACGTCGATTCAAGATCAGGACGAGCTGTCGAGTTTGCTGCAGGTGCCCCTCGTGGCCGGCAGTGTCAACCGTGGTAGCAACGTTGTCGGTTCGGGTATGGTCGTCAACGACTGGATGGCCGTGACCGGCCTGGACACCACGGCGACGGAACTCAGTGTTATCGAGAGTGTATTCAGACTGGGCGAGGGCCTGGGTCCGGACAACGTCAACACGAAGCTCAAGGACACCATGGTCGAGTCTTTCTACTAAAGAAAGGATTGGTCCTGTGGGGGAAGGGAGAGCTGCATGTTGAGCGGTTGGCTGCAGGAGTACTTTCTGGGTCGGTTTTTCGTTGGTTTGGGATACCACTTATTGGGTTGAGCATGGTTTGGTAGGCTCTTCTCGTGAGCCGGGTTTGGGTTCACTCAGTACAGTACAGATGTATCTGTATGGCCGGCATGAATAAAAGCCCCACGTGGGCACTTGGAACCCAATCTTGTTCAATCTTGTTGTGCTAGCTGGCTTCCCGACGCATCGAGGCTGTGATTGCGAAAATTAACGAATGCCATACTGGTGATGATGGACAGGCTTCGGTGTAGCTCAGATGAGATCTATTCCCCGGAGGAAAAATAAAGCTAACCACGAACCTTGATATTCAAGTTTGAAGAAACTCAAACAGCGAATGCGATTCCGCGTGCGTATTGTTTCCCGAGCAGGAAGTCCTAAGTCATGACGATTATTGTCCGCGAAAGAGCGAATCACAACCCAGCGTTCCATTGCTATTGTTTTGCCTTTTGAGCTGAACTAACCGCCTTGCAACGAAGGAGCCTATCAAATTTCGCATGTGCCTGTTTTCCTTTCGTCGTCAGAGTTCCAGTCCCCCTCCCCGCGTCTTAAGCATCTCTGACTAGGTGTCTGGAAAGAACAACAAGCTTTGACTGGCTGGGGAGAGGGGGGCCATCGGCAGAGGGGAAAACTAACACAAGCAAGGTCGAGTAAGAATGATGCGTGCGGAAGGCTCAAGAGGGAGAGAGAGAGAGAGAGAGAGAGAGAGAGAGAGAGAGAGAAAGAGAGAAGGAGGATTAGGCTTTTGATTTGCTGGGTACTACGGAATTCTGGTCTCGACTATGGGAGTGATTCAGGTATTCACGACTCAGCCCAGCCACGTACTACAACAGAATTGGGGGGTGTGAGAGAAAGGGTCTTCTAGTGCGAGTCTCGTACTTGAGAAGTTGAGATGTTCCGTCGGTTATCGACGCTGAATGTGTGTTTTTCTTTGTATATTCAGACGAGACAAGGGATTTCACACGGGGGGGGATGGGGGGATGAATTAGGCTGCGTCGGTACTGCCTAGATTAGGAAGGGAGCATGGGAAGCGCGTGATGTTTATGGACCGTGGCGGTTGAGGCGTCTTTTCTATTTGGGATGTGGAATGTGGAATGCAGTATTGGTGGTTCTTTTTTATATGCATGTCTGAGCGTGGCGGGATGGAGGAGGAAGGGCGGGTTTGAGCCGTCGTTGGTTTTATCTCCCTACCTAGGTACTACGTATTTTCGCAGCCTGTAGGATTCTACGTTTCTGGCGGGTACCAAGGTTGACTCGCCTACCTGTTTTGACCCCTTTGAGGATTGTTCGTAGTTAGACTTGACTGTATAACACTATCTAGTGATTTACATATATGGGATATGCGCCGAAGTTGGAATTCGGGAGCTCGGGACGGTTGGAAGTTTCACTGGTTTGGGGTTGCATTCCAGGCTCGGTGTCGAAGATCTGCGAGGACGGACTCTAGACGCCGATCTTCCGGTAGATGAAGGCACCCGATTGTTATTCCTAGGCGGGGGTTGGAATGGCTCTATTGCTTAGATACACAAGCAGGTAGTACACTTTGAGGGAGTTATGTGTTTGTGCCTGTCTACATCTCATCGGGACTTTCAGATGTCAAGCCTCTCGGGGCACGGTCATGGGCACGGTTGGAAAGCACAAGCCAGAGTCACAACAAAGTGGTGAGGAATCATCTGGTGGTTTTTTTGTCGAGTTGCAATGCGATTTCCAGGGTCCAAGAGAAAGGTACCTTCGATTGCACAGACCTTGGGGGGGACGTGTGGTACGTGCTCCATAAAAAAAAGAAGAGGAAGGGAAAAGACCATCAATTGGGGAAGAGCGTTCGGGAACCAGCGGTGCGTTGGACGGTTTGAGAAATGGCGGAAGGCGAGAGAGAGAGTGTTGCCCGTTGGCATACCTAGCATGGTCAAGTGACGACGCACTGGATGGCGATTGCAGGGCCGCCTCACTTCGCTGCTCAGAGTCACAGAGCCACAAAGTCTGGACCTACAAGCCTGGACCTCGCTGCCGGTCCGCTTTTCACTGCCCAAATGGTGATCGGGTCGACGGGTCCCACGGCCAAGTTGCTGGAGACGGGATGGAGACCGCCCAACCACCGCCAATTGCTGGATGTTGACGTCGCCCACGTCGTCGCCTCCTGCCCAGGTCCTACGGTTTGTTTATCAGGGACCTCCCGGCGTTCCTTTTATTTTCTCTCCTTAGTCTTGGTGGCTGTCGATCTGAATCTTCCATTTCTCTTTCCTCACTTCTGTGCACATCGAAAGGGGAAAATCAAGGCTATTTGCTTTTTCCCTCTCCGTCACTCGCCGTCATAACGTCGAAGCCCCCTGCAGCGCCGGCCTCGTGGGAACAGACACACCTTTTTTTCTCTGTGTCTGTGTCAAACCTGGGGTCTTCCCCGTTTCTTCGACATCTGCACATAACACGGATACATTGTACCGACTATATGCAGCCTCACGACTGTCGCGCTGTACTCTTTGTCACCTCCCTCGCACGCCTGCCTCAACACTGACGGATACTTGCGGTCTGATATCCATCCCTACGGAGCACCTCACGCAACTACGGATACTTACGTACAAATCGAAACGAAACGGCGTTTGCCTATCTGTACGCCCATGCTGACTCGGAGGCTCGTCCATCCACTCGTATTATCACATTTCCTTTGACCGGTATCCAACACTGAACAGAGCACCCCAATATCTCCGCTTTTTTATGCCTGTACTATACTTCGTACAGAGCGACCCCCCGACACGTTTGCATAGTCATAACATTGGAGGAAGCATCCCGAATATCAATATCATAAAGCCTTGGATCGGGATAGTCGCGACTAGCCCTCAGCCACAAGCGCAGTCGTGTACTCACCTGCGACTTTGACAGCTTCGACGGCTTACAGCATCCCGCGCCGCCGACGCCTTCCAAGCCGAACGCTCTCGTCACTTTGTTCACGATCTACGGCTGGTTGCGCACCTTTACTTTCTGTGCGACCATCCCTGTGCGACCTCACTATACTGCAAGTCTGCAAGGACCGGGCACCCAAGGGCCGTCTTCATCGATTCCAACAAGAGGTTCATGCGAGTTGTGCTTGACCGTCCGTCGCCTGTCAACTTTCCCTAGTCCGACCGACGCTCTTCATTCTCGCTTGCAGGGGGACCTGGCATCTCATCACGCCAAAAAGTCTCGCAGACTCGCACTACCCTTTGTCCCAGGCTCCCAGCTCGATCCATCCCTACCGAGCGGGCGACCACCACCAGCCGACCACCCTAAAGTTCCAACGCTCTTCCCTCGAAAAGTCCGTCTTGACTCTAGGTTGCTCCTAGCTCGCGACGTCCGCCCCTCCCCTTTCGTTATTTGTGGCCCGAGTCGATCCATTTACGTTCCTGGTCTGGCTGCCAACCCAAGCCCGCGATACCCCCGGCCGTATAGCTAGACTCAAGCTGGGAGACACATATTGCCCGTCCCACACGAAACATTAACTTATCATGCTAAGCCGTCACGCCGCCGCCTCCACACCCGACTCCCCGATGTCTTTCCCACGCCCAACCGAGTCCTCTGGAATGGACAAGACTCAAACTCTACGCCGTGCACATGGGCCTGAGAGCGTTGATCCAGAAGACGATCCTGCTTCCCCGAGCGCTACCCCCGGTGCTGCCTTAAACACCAACCCGCCTGTCCAGCCCGAGCCGTGTCGCATTAGCTCGTCTGGAGCCGATCGAAGCTTTCCTCGACTACACTCTGGTCACCAGAGACAGCACTCTGTTCCAAATTTCCCTTCTACCAGCAACTCCGTCCCACAGGTCACCTTCTCGCCATCCCTTGAGCGAGGGTCTGGCCGCCCCTTGTCGGTCAATATGCCTCTCACGGGAGATAGCAGGAAGCCTTCAGATACCACTCGAGGAGGCATACTGAGCGGCTGGCTAGGTGGATCTCCCAACAATACAGAGGAAGCCAAGACGAACGACGATACGATAGAGGGGACGCCTACGAACAGGCTACGCAGAAGACAAACCGGCTCAACGGAGACGACACCCAAAGGAGTTTCGCCAAGTACATCACGGTTCGCCTTCTTCAGCTCACCCTTCTCCAAGAACACCCCGACCCAAGTCAGCCCACAGCAGGATGAAGAGTTATTGTCTTTGAACATCCAGGAAGCGCTGTTCCCTCCTACATCTCCGACTCACAGAGACGCCTTCTCGCCTGCAGCCTTCAAAAACCTAGAGGCTACAGCCGTTGGCCTACTAACAAAGTTCCAAACCGCCTATCAAAGACAAAACGCCGCCTTGATAGAACTACGAGTCGAAAAGGACGCTCAAAACGAAGAAAATGATGAGGCGGACACACGAATCCAACACCTCAAGGTCCAACTAGAAAACATGGCAACCAAGGTGGCCGAGCAGGAACAGTCGATGCAGCAGCTCATGACTGAACTGAACGCGGAGAAGAAGGCCAGGCAAGAGGAGAGAGCGATGCGTGAAAGGAATCGTCCGATTTCCGAGGGGTCATCGATATCTGAAGATCTTGGCGCCGAAGAGGACCAGGCCAGGAGGAAGTGGAGAAAGAGCGCGGGATTCGACACGGACGAAGAGAGTGTTGAGGATGCCAGCGTTTTCTCGAGGTCACGAAGTCCTACCACCGCCGCACCTAGCGTGTTCGAGGGCAGTATTTCGGAGGCATCAGCAACCCCATCAAAGTCCAATTCGCTCGGCCCCCCGAGAACCTCACGGCCGCCGCCGACATCAAAACCGTCGCCACAGCAGGCGAGCGTCTTCCAGAAACTTATGAGAGGGGTTACAGGCGACGCCGCGAAAGAAGAGGGAGGTGCGACATCATGCTCGAACTGTCGCGGGCAGGACCAGCGGGCCGCGTGGGATACGGTCAGTCTATTGAAAGACGAGAACCGTGGATTGAAGCATCGTGTTGAGGAGCTGGAGACTTGCGTCGACAGTGCGTTGGACGTCGTCAACGGGCTTAGACTTGACTGACTGTGTCGTCATGTGTGATCTGCATACCCCCAACCGCGTGAGCTACAATCCGCGGCATGAATGGCGTTTTCTGGGTTTCCTATTTTTTTTTCTTGAGTAAGGAGTTTCTTTGGACATGAATGGGACAAACCGATACCAATGAGCTGGCATTGTTGAAATCTTTGAGAGCGGACACGGGAGCATATACCTCGTCACTAGTAGATGATTTGGTAGAGAATGAAAGAAATCTGTCTGGCTACTGCAATACTTCCTTCATTCTTGCATCCACGCATCACGCATTTTATAGTGACTTCTTCAGGTAAGATCAAATACTTGGGAGTAATAGGGTTATATCGAAAAGGAAAAGAATATAAACACCTAATCTCAGATTGGGAAGCTGGCGTTGAAAAGGAAGAAGGCCAAGGAAGCTTGGACGGGTGAGAGAGAGGGCAGGTGAGAATTATGGGATGATGGGTTGAAACGGGTGTCTGTGCCAGGAGGACGTGGTCTTGGGAGGGCAGAAAGGTGGTTGCAATGGTTTTTGTAGATTCTGCTGTGGTTGTTCATTGTAATTTACCGGGAGAATGCAAGTCAAGTATGTTCTCGAAGCTGAGGGTTGAGATTCAGAGGCCAGTAGCCTGCTCATCTCTTCCTTTCGTGAGTACATTTTGGCCCGCTGGGTGGGTCTGGGGACAGCCCGCTTCTGACAATCAAGACCAGACTGGACTCCTTTTATATGGTCTCCTTCAGGCATGCTTTATTGTTCAGTCTGTTTTGTATACCATACAATTAGTGCTCTGATTGGTGCTGATGAAAGCAGGTGGTAGCCCGCTTCTAGGTGCCCATCCAGCTTCTCCGTCGACCCGGGAGGAGCATGTGGCCGTACAAACAAGAAGAGCAACCGCGGTATCTACCACAATTACTAGTGAGATCATTGAAGCCTTGACTTTCAGCTTCTTATCGACCTGATGGTTGGACCCCAATAGTGGTTGATGCGCCAGTGGAGGTGGCAACGCTCTGCAAGCAAATTCACAGGTAATCTCCGGTACCAAAGCCAGGCCTGCTGTTCACAACACTTTCAAGAGTCACACGATATCATGACAGCGGAAAACCAAATTCGTCCTCATCTAAATCCTTCCAGCGAGCCGGTCTGCCGGTTCGAGAGGTACATGTACAGCGGAGTATTCCCCTTCTCCGTCTCCCCCACAACCAATCCATTGAGCAGTCTAGTGGTGGTCCTTTCCGTGGGCATCGCCGTGGTGGTGGTCGTCGGTCAAGAAGAAGTACTCGTAGGCGCAGTAGCCGGCAAAGGCGACGGTCGCGATGCCGAGGCCGGGGAATGATCCCTTGAACCGGTTGAATCGCGTGAAGGGGCCCTTGTATCTCCAGGACTCTCTGTAGTCTCCATCGTCAGCGGATGACGCGGTGTTCATCGGGCATTCCGCAGCTAAGTGCCACTCACGCTCTCTCCCAGGGGTCGTATCTGGGCTGGCCGGCCGCCTCCTTGAAGGCTCTCATGTCGAAGCCGGTGATGTTGGGCTTCTGGCCGCGGGCGGCCGCCATCGCTAACCTGGTGTCAAATGGGCGTCAGACGTCTGCTCACCATCTCACTATATCAATTGAGCTTTTTGGAGAACAGTTACCTCGTTGGCTGCATAATTGCTGTGTGAATGTCGTCTTGCCGTACAACAATGGACTCTTTGGTGGTGGTCAGTCGAGTTGGGGCGAAGCTGATTGGAGATCTTTGAGATGTTGTCGGCGGAAAGTACCGTGGTACGTATCTGGCCGACTGTGGTCTCGCACAGACCACCCCTCGTCCTCCACGGTCGGTCAACCAGAGCAAGCCTTCAGGCCTCATCCACACATTCTGTCCAAATCCGAGATAACCAGACGTTCTCGCCAGCGCTTTAGCTCCGCACGAACCCAGAACGACGATCAGCATCACTCAGCAAGCATCACCCAACGCAACGAATTATCCCTTCTCGAAACTATCGCCCTTCTCGTACATTCAAAACAAGCCAATCCGACCATCGGCGGGGAAGAACAAAGGTGCTTCTGTGCTGCCAACCACCCCGTCCCTCACTCGTATCTCCAGACGCAAATGCAGGGCCGTGGACCGTCCACAACCCCTCAGAACCCAACGCGACCTTGCCCGACGACACGGTGAACTTCCGATTTTACTGTACGAACCTCTCGAGAGGCATAGTCTGTTATGCCGCCACAGCTACCTAGGTTCCCTGGCGGGCCCAACACCATATCGCCATACCACCAGCAGTTCCCCTCCCACGCCCAAGGCCACGGCCCGAATCATGGACCCCCTCTAGGAGGAAACCCTTCCTACCTCAACGCGAACGCCGCTCAGATCAGCCCCTTCTCTACGAACGGAAATGTCCTCGGCGGTACCCCCGGCCTGAATGGCGGCTTCCCCCTCGGCGCCGACACCGGTCTCGGAAGCCATGCTGCGCGGATGGGCTTTGCGCACGCGGCCAGCCTGCAGCAACAGCAGCAGCACGGGCAGCCACAACATAACTTTGGGCTCGATCACGGCGCGGCGCCGGCGCGGACGACGCAGAACAAGGGGAGAATAAGGGAGGTGTGGAAACACAACCTTCACGAGGAGATGGCGGTACTACGGGAGCTCGTCGACAAGTACCCGTACATTGCTATGGTTAGAAGATATGCAAGGTATTCGGTATCATGAATTGCTGCTGACAGGACACATCACAGGACACGGAATTCCCAGGCGTCGTGTCACGGCCAATGGGCTCTTTCAGAGGAAAGAGTGACTACCACTACCAGTGTCTGCGCACCAACGTCGACATGCTCAAGGTCATTCAGATCGGACTGACGCTCTTCAATGAGGATGGCGAGACGCCGCCAGCAAGACCAAACTCGCAGCAAGACATCGAGCTAAGTGCTGCTCAACGGAGAGCGGCGTCGCAAGGGCCGTTCCCATACGCGTGGCAGTTCAACTTCAAGTTCTCCGTTAAGGACGACATGTATAACGAGAAGTCGATCGAGTCATTATCGAGTGCCGGAATCGACTTTGCGTCCCTCGAGAGAGACGGTATCGATCCTCACGAATTCGCTTCCCTCCTCATCCCATCCGGTCTCGTTTGCTTTGACAACGTGAAGTGGATCTCCTTCCACGGAGGCTACGACTTTGGCTACCTTACCAAGTTGCTGACCTGCAACGACCTTCCCAACGACGAATCGGACTTTGACCAAGTCATGAAGCTGTATTTCCCGTCGGCTTACGATGTCAAGCATCTGATGAAGCACGCCATCCGACTTCACAACTCTGGACTCCTTACCCCCAGCGATCCTAGCAGCGCCGATATCCTCCAGAAGTTTGAGCACAAGTCTGGCCTCGAGAATATCGCCGATTCCCTCAAGATTAAGCGCGTGGGAAATGCGCACCAGGCCGGCTCAGACTCCTTGCTCACGGGCAAGGTCTTTTTCCAGATGCGCGACAAGATCTTTAACGGAGAGATTCCTGAAGAGCATGTGGGCAAGGTCTGGGGCTTGGGTATCCCGGAGCTCCTGGTGTTGGAGAGATTGCCATTTGGTAACAACGGTGGCAACCAAGATTCGGCGCAAAATAACGGCCCTAATGGTCAGCACAACGGGGGGCCGAGTACGCCCAATACCGGCAGTGTCGGTCTCGCGAGCACGCCTGCCGCGCAAGCACACAACACCAATGGCATCTCCATGGGACCAATGACCCCAGGCGGGGGAGGCGGGGTCTTTGGCAACTTTGCCTTTGGGGGCGCCAGGTAAACTTTCATGTCTCTACCACTCCTGACTGAGGTTGCGTGGGCAAGGATATCATATGGCGCACGTTGGACTTCTTTTGGGCGGGCTGGCCATGGTGACTTGCTTCCCGAGGTGGTTTAACGTGACGCTGGCTTTTGGTTTTGCATACTTTGTCTATACATTGGTGGGAACGTGGAAGAGTTCGCTCCCCTGCATCACCCTGCCTTATTCTTTCAGTGGAAAAGCTCATAGTCGCTGGGAGTAAAAGGCTCGTTCTTCACGACAAAAAAGATTTATTCTGTTTCAATGTTTTCTCTCTCTCCGGTCTGTTTATGCGGTGATTGCGTTCTGGAGTTGGGGATTGGGGGAAGGGGTTTCCCCCTTTGGTTCCAGCATCACATCCCGTAAGCTAGGACGGCGGCGGCGGCGGTAACGGGTCGGGTTTAAGGCTTTTTCATCTGGATGACGGTTGGGGGGGTAAGGGCATCGGGATTTGACTACAAATTTCTCAGTACGCCTCAGTTGGGAGTCGGCGAGGGTCGCGAAAAGGAGCAAGAAGGAAAGATCTGGTGTTCTAGATGGCAATGGAAGAGAGAGCGTCCCGAGCTGGGTGGTGGTGTCAAAGTAAGAGAGAGTACGAGCGCATGAAATACTTACTCCTTACACATGTATTGTTATTGTGAATATCCTGGATTAGGGAGGCAACTGGGGGAACAACTGGAATTCAGATGCAAGTATGGTTATTTACACTTTTGCTAGAAGACTTGGATGCGATTGTTTGTATAAAAAGTGAGTTGGCTTCAAAGGGGTTTGTGGTGACTCTCGTAGTCTATCGAGGACTTTTCCTGGTCGGGATGAGCTTCGACCAGGGCGGGTTGACGACGGGATAGTGACTTGATGACTACCTACCTGCCTTATCTCATAAGTCTGCGAGACAACATCCCTCAATGGTGTTGACATGGTTCTCACTTGTCGATAACCTCTCTGAAGATGTTACCACCTGTACGAGGCGTAGGCTACTTACGTTGAGTTACTTCCACAAGATGAGAGTATTGTGATGATTTAAGCATATACTCAAATACCAAATGTTATACCTACCTTGAAGTCGGTTGTTTTGCTTGAGATGGGAAACAGAAGACGATGCGTATAAGCCGTACTTGCATACCTAAGCAAATGCTGAAACCAACTTGCTGTCCATCAAGCTCTAGTGCTCGTTCTTACTGATGACCGAAACTAAGGGAGCCTGTGTTTTAAATTGGGTTGTCGAGGTGAACGATTATCGGAATCGATTCTGAGCAACTGTGATGACTCGATTTAGTTGTCTCCAGTTCAACTACTATGGGGATGTATTGTTTTCGAAATGGTGGATCAACATGGCTTCAAAGTGAATTTCTCCAAGAAGTGAAAGCAAATATGGCACTGAAACATCTACTGTCTCTAAAGATGTCAATTACATTACCAAACAGGCAGGCTCCTGGAAATAGTATACCCTGTTGAGCGGCTTAAACATAGTCTCCGAGGTCAATACAGAGGAACGAGAATATCGTGTTGCTCAGGGCATTGGATGGAAACCGAACAGAATACGAAAACTCAACCCATCGCCTCTACGACTACCTCTATCTTACGATAGCAGGCAGGGAATGGAGCTTGATCTGAAGTACAATCCCGCGCCTAGAACGGCCGCTTCAGGAGAAAAAGCGGATCTGCCGGGAGCGAAGACTGGGACCTGGAAGGTCTTCATCAATTAAACTGGAGCGAAGAACACAAGGTGGACACCTGCGAGTGCAGTGCAGATGACGTAAACCCGCTCGTTTGCGGACCTTCCAACACCCCGGGTCCGTGCACATGACCTGGTCCTCGTAGATTGTAGTCCGATCCCCTGTGTCAAAACATTCCTATCCGTAGAGGGTGCGCATGCGCTTTCTTGGAGAGTCTTCCGAAGCCTACAGATCTTTCCCCCGTCTTCCGGCGCGCATTACGAAGCCTTCCCACCCGACGAAATTCTTTTTATTTTTACCACAACAAAAGGAATACGACACCTGCGACGACAACCTTCGAAAGACCGATACAAGTTGGAAAAGCAGCGCCTCATGGACGCTGTCTCGACCACGACACAATGTTCCACGTCGTGAGCGCCTCGTCGCCGGTACCATCGGAAATCTTTGCGCTCCTTGCGCTCCTCGTCATTTCCGTCATCGTCCTACTGATTCTGCGCCATTTCCTACCGCTACGAACGACTCCCGCCTTCTACCTGGTTCCGATCTTCTTCGCATTATGGCTGCCCGCGTGCATGGTACTGCTCGTTCCGATCGATTTGGCTTCAAGCGCTAGGACCGACGATGAGGCCACGCGCGGTATCTGGCTCCCCCAGCGATTGCTGCTGGTGTCGTGGAGGATAACTTACTGGCTCACTTTCGCCCTGACATGGTGCGTGGCTCGCTGGAGTAGTTCCCTTTGGCCATTTTGCTAAACGTGTGTTCCAGGTTCATCCTTCCCATCCTTGGCGAATACTCCGACTCCGGCTACCGCGAACCCCAAGATAGTCTCAAGTACTCACTCCGTCAGAATGCGCAATACCATGCGATGGTGTTTGGAACTGCTGCTATCGGCCTCACGTACCTTTTCGCCAGATACGGTGTTGGCGCCTTCGAGCTTAAAGCCTCCTTCATGGCACTCGCATATTTCTACGGCTTGGTTTTTGCGATCTATCTCATGGGACACGGTTTGGTCTCTGTACCCCGGCGACTGCTTCGATACGCATCTATTAGCGGAAGACTGCGTCGACTACAAATCCGTGCACCGAAATTATACGAAAAGATGGAGGATTCCCTGCTGAACCTGGAGGACGTCGAATTGCACGTATCGGAGCTCGGCCGTCGGAAGACCGGCAGCGCAGTCAAATTCAGCGAGTGGATCGACGAGCTCGTGGAAAGCGCCAACATGCCCGAATCCCAGCCGCGCACCGTGGTGGGCGACACGCGCGCCCTGCCGACCGTTATCACAGAAAAGTTCATGGCGGACTTGTCTAGGAAACTGATGCGAGCCCGGCACACGCGGTCCCGTTACGTGAACGAGTGGAACGATTTATTGAAGGATGCCTCTGACACGCAAGCAATCCTCGACTCTGCCGCCTCCAAGAAGTTGATATTCGCCGCCCCTTCGCCCCACGCCGGGTTCTGGGATCGATTCACCGTCCACACACCGTACTCCAGATACATTTACTACTACCACTTTGAGCCTTATGCCTGCATCGCTTTGGGCGTGTTTCTGGCAGCCGCTTCAGTTTTGATCATCTGGTCTGAACTGGTCAAGGCCGCGTTCCCTCAGCTGTCCGTCATTCGTCTGACCGTTGTCCATCATTGGGTTGGTGAGAAGGGCCAAGTCGGTTTCGCTGGTCAACTCATTTCGGTTCTCTGGCTTCTTTATATGTGTGCGGCCACTTTTATCACCATGACGGAGGTGAAGACTTGGCGCGGGCGTGCGCTCGTAAAGCGCAATACGGCTTATGAATCAGCATTTTGGTACTCTGGACAAGTTGCGAAGCTCAGCGTTCCTCTATCATACAACTTTATGACTTTCCTGTCTGGCGAAATCTACAAGAAGACGCGATTCTATGGCTTCCTCGGAACGTTGGTCAACTTTACCCCGTTGGGCCGCTGGGCAGACTACCTCTTCCCCGTTTTTGTACTGCTCCCAGTGGCGGCCACTCTATTTGGCTTATACGGGAAGGTCAAGCGCATGTTTGGCTTCGGCGGCGAGTTCATCGATGACGACGACGAGAATGGCGACGGACGGGTCTTTGGCACAGGGTCATGGAGGGAAGGTCGCGATCTCATCGAGCGCGAACTGGGCGGCAACTCTGCCTTGCGTCGTCGCGAAGAGGCTTTCGCTAGACTGGAATCGGGCGGGAGATCCGCTCCTGTCCTGACGATTCCCGGCGGGCGCAACGGCCTGGCATCCTCTCCAGCAAGGTCTCCTGTGCGGGCCACTACTAATCGCCAGCCAGGCCAATCGTCCCGAAACAGGCCGTACCGTGATGAGCCGGAGGAGGACCAGAACTTTTTTGAGTCTCTGGGTCACCGGATGAAGAACACGATGGACACTTTTGAGCCTCCGCAGTGGTTTCAAGACATCAAGAAACCCAAGTGGATGGGTGGCGATGATGACGAGCCAGGAAACGGTAGCGGCAGTGGTAGCGGCGGTGGGGTCGAGTCTGACATTCGACGCTGGTTCGGTGGCGGTGGTAGTAGCGAAGGACGAGTCCGGCTGTGATTTCTGCCGCGGACAGCAGACAGATGGATGTCCTTTGTTTTCCTTTGTTGCTTTTGAGTATCACCACGTTGCACGAAATTTGGAGTCTCTACCAAGAGCTGGGGAGAACGCATCGTTAGGAGTTTTGGCTTGATGTTCCCGCGCCCGGGACTTTGGAATACGGTCGTCACCCAAAGGACCTAATGGGCAGGGGTAAATAGAATGGTTTAATAGCGGCGCGAGACCCAGCACCTGTCCATGAGATAGAATTACGTTCCATAGATTCCCCACACGAAATCAAAGTAATATTCAAGTATGTCTTGTGGCTTGCAATGAATACTACGCACTTGGCGACCGGATTTCGAATACGAGGATATAGCGACGCTGAAGGCGACCTTGGCGGTGTCGTTAAGTGATACGAGCTGCCCGACGCAGCCGGCCCCACAGCGGCTTCGGCAGGAGGCCGGGGTACAGCAGCCGGATGCATTAGTGGATGTGCCGGTGGACCGTGCACAGTCTGCCATGAGTTGTGCGACGCATCTTTCGCCTTGGCTTTACTCTTCAACCAACATCACCACATTACACAATGAGCAAACCAGGCTTGTCATTCGGCCTCAACCTAGGCAAAAAGACCGGCGCATCCAAACCGGCCCCCGGAAAACGGAAGCCATTCGGCGCCACAGCGTTTGGCGGCGGCGACGACGACTCCGACAACGATGCGCCCAACTCGGGAACCAAGATCGAGTCGCTAGACGAGCTAGGCGGTTTCGAAGTCGACTCCTCGTCCAGCAGACAGGACAGCGGAGGCAAGAGGAGCAAGGCCAAAAGCAAAAATGCGCTACCGACACAACCGCCCGCAAGCAGAGCCAAGAAGCAGGAGAGCGCCATGTTCGGCGACCTCTCGGGCTCGCTCACGTCCAAGAAGCACGCCGAGGCGGCGGAGGAGCTTGACCCGAGCGTGTACGACTATGACGGCGTGTACGAATCGTTCAAGCCGCAGAAGAAGACGACCAAGGAGGACGTGGAGAGGAAGCCCAAGTACATGAAGAGCCTACTCGCGGCGGCCGACGTGCGGAAACGGGACGCGCTTATTGCGGAGGAGAAGAAGATTGCGAGGGAACGGGAGGCCGAGGGCGAAGAGTATGCGGATAAGGAAAAGTTCGTCACGGAGGCGTATAAGAAGCAGCAGGAGGAGAACCGACGGATCGAGGAGGAGGAGAGGAGGCGGGAGGAAGAGGAGGCCAAGAAGAACAAGACGGGCGGCATGAGCGCTTTTTACAAGAATCTCTTGAACAAGGGCGAAGAGAGGCATGCCGAAGTTGTGAAAGCGGCCGAGGACAAGGCCAAGGCTGGTCCGACAGTACAAGAAGAAGAAGACGATACATCGAAGGAGAAGTCCGAGGCTGATGTGGCGCGGGAGATCAACCAGAAAGGCGGCGCCGTCGCCGTCAACGAAGATGGACAGGTGGTGGACAAGCGGCAGCTGCTCAGGGGCGGTCTCAACGTCGGGGCCAAGAAGGAAGCGCAGGTCAGGGAGGAGGCTGCGCGGCCTAAGGAGAGCAGACCGGAGCGCAGCGCCGGCACAGGGTTCGTCGGCTCCGGCGGCAAGGGCGCGATGCGGGAGCGGCAGACGAGGATGCTCGAGGCGCAGCTGGAGGCGGCCCTCAAGCGGTCCCGCGAGGAGGAGGATGCGGAGCGCGAAAAGGTCGAGCGGGTTACGAAGACGAGGAAGACGGAGGGGGAGATTTCGAGCGCCAAGGAGCGGTACCTGGCGAGAAAGCGCGAGGCGGAGGAGGCAAAGAAGAAGGGCCTCGCGGAGTAAAGATTTCTACCTCTACAAGATACCCTGAGAAGCATACAACGGCTCCTTTCTCTATATGCGTCTACGTTCCTCTTTTCGGCGCAACCGTAGCATGTCTAAGCGTATCCCCCTTTCATTCGTTATGCTCTTTGATGGCGAATCTTGTGTACATTTCGTTTGATGCCCGATTCCCTAACGCAGTGTGCTGCATCACTCCGCCATCGGAAGCTTTTCCCTATTTCAGAAATCTCTTCCTTGACCTGAATGCCTTCATTGGACTTTACGAAGCCCTCCTTTTCGGTATTGTTGTACAGTAATCGTACATGAATGCACATACCCCCCTAAATTCCCTTAATGTAGTTTCCTCCTCATGCCTCAGTCGATTTACAAGCTAGGGTTGCTGGATTCCTGCTTTATCCGGGCAATGTAGGCTTGGTTGACCTGGTTCCACGCCGACATATACTTCTCCATGCACGAGGTCATGCAGGTCGTCTCGCCGCTGGACAGGGAGCTGCCGGGCTTGGGCACGCACTTCTCGAAGCAGTTCTCTTGGAGTTTCTGTTTGCAATTGCGTAGTTAGCTCCGTGATCTTTCGTAGAGAGCTTTCAGCAAGGCTGGGTGACCTACCTCAATGAGGACGCGGGCGTTGGCCAGGTTTGCCTCCTGGAGGACCTGCTTCATGACGGCATTCTTGACAGTTGTGGACTCCATTTTTTTTTTCGTTTGCGTCTCTCAAATCTATAGCTGTAATCTGGTATGAGATGGACTTGGGGAAGAGAAAAGACTGTAATGAATTGACCAGAATAAGGTAGTGACGTTCTTGACTTGCGATTGTTGCGCCGAAATTGATCCCCAAATACCCGGCTAGCTTCGCATTGAATCCGACTCTGGAGAAAAAAAGTTGGAGTGGCTGGTGCTGCAAGGCTGCTGTGGCGCAAGCGCAAAAGCCTGAGGCAGGGTTGGAATGCGCTGGCTTTCCTCTACACAGTAGAAGTGACGCACCTCAGTGAGAGAAGGAGAGCCCAAGGGCCCGCCCAATAGCGGTCGGAGTTGCGCTGTAGTTGGTGAATGGCAGGGTGCCTGGCCTGAAGCACACCTAGGCTCTAGCGTACAGCAGGGGTAGGAGCTCCAAAACGTGCTGACCCCAGGAATCAGGATCCATCAGCCAAAAAAAGAGGACAGCTAACGGCCTGGGAAGGGGACACACGAGCAAGCCAGCAAAACCCACCCGGCCACCACCACGACGTCCACAACCCCCTTCGACACTTTTTGCCGAAACGACGACGACGACGACGCCCTCTCCGTCGCTGGACATTGCGGCTCTACCCATTTTGCACCACCCGGCGGCCCCTTTCTCCTCCTCCCCCCTTTCGTTCGCGACGCGCATCACCGTCTAATTCCTTTTCTCTTTTGGGTTTCCTCTCTTCGTTTCGAGCTTCAGCAACCTCAGCCATGTGGTTCAAGCAGTCCCTTTCGGCCCTGTGGCTGGCCGCAATCGCCCTGGGCACCGCAAAGGCGGATGATGGAGAAGTCAAGAGCATTGCGGTTCGTTCTAACATCTTGTTCCCCTTCAGCTGTAACATGAGTGTGCGCGCATATCGTAGACAGAATGATGAAGCTGACTTTCTCTCTGTATCCTGTTTAGCTCCGAACGCACTCCCTAAGCCAGGTTCGCGACTCCCGCGCTTCCCATGCGCCACAACCCTTGAGTGCACTTTACTGAGACTATTTGCGATAGCCCTACCTCGATTCCGATATGGCAAGTCGGTGGTACGACTTTGGCGGAGACACAATCATCAGGACGGACTCGTACGTTTTACACCTATTCATTTCCCATCGAATCGGCTTGAAGATGTGTTTGTGTGTGGCAGGAAGAATGAGGGAAGAGAATCGAAGGCTAAGGCACAGGGACACGATTACAGCTACATCCGATTGACATCCGACCGCCCGTCGCAGACCGGCTGGCTCTTCTCGAGAGTGCCCCTGACGGCTACCAACTGGGAGATTGAGGTCGAGTTCAAGATCCACGGCAAGAACCAGCTCTACGGCGACGGCTTCGCCATGTGGATCACCAAGAACCGCGGTCAGGCGGGACCCGTCTTTGGCAGCCCCGACAACTTTGACGGCCTCGGCATCTTCTTCGACACGTATAAGAACAACCGCCCCGGCACCGTCTTCCCCTACGTCATGGCCATGTTTGGCGACGGCAAGACCTCCTACGACAAGGATAACGACGGCAAGAACACGGAGCTCGCCGGCTGCTCCGCGCGCGGCATCCGCCACGCCAGCGTGCCCACCAAGGCTAAGGTCACGTACTTCCAGGACAAGCTCCTCAAGCTGGAGCTGCAGTACAAGACCGAGGGCGACTGGACCCTCTGCTTCGAGACCAACGAGCCCCCCGCGATTCCCCAGATCGCCTACCTCGGCTTCAGCGCCGAGACGGGCGAGCTTAGCGATAACCACGACATCATCTCGGTGCAGGCCAAGAATCTCTACACGACGCAGACCGGCAAGGGGACCAGTAAGACGACCCCCGGCAGTGGCAAGGGCAAGAAGGGATCTTCCTCGATCAAGAAGGACAGCAGCAGCGGCGGCAGCTGGACGTGGACTTTCTTCAAGGTCTTCCTCTTCTTTGGCGTCCTCGGCGGCGGCTACGTCGGTTACACTGCCTGGAGAGCAAAGAATGACAAGAGACATCGTTTCTAAACAGGTTGTTGACGATGATGGAGAAAAGAAGAATCAAGGGGGAAACAAGCCCGTGGGGATGGGGAGGTTTTATTTTATCATTTTTGAGGGAGAGAATGACAAAAAGGGGGGCAAAGCAGCTGGTGATTTGGTCGGGAAAAGATGACTGATACCGTACATACCAACATCGCAACACACAAAGTCATGACTTTTGCATGATGGGGCAGGTCGAAGGCGGTGGAGGGGGAAAACAACCAAAGTTTCCATGGTTGCTATTTTCTCTCTGTGTCTCTCACTTTTCTATCTCAAATCATGCTTCTCGTTTACGAATAACTCAGTCTGAGATGAATTCAATTGTATTATATGACGGTTGGCCGGTTGATGGGTTCACATGTGAGAAGCCGGAGGAATGAGTGACTATCGATTATTCCGACCGTAGTCCCTTACCATCGGGCTTTGATTGATGGTGGTTGCCCATTGCCAATAACCAAGCTAGACATAATTTGGCAAAAGCTGCGGGAGTTATTTGGTTGACCCGGCCGCCCAGGAGCTTAAAGGATATAAAGTCCAGACAACAAGGTCGGAATTCAACCGAGCTTGAATATAGAGTGCAAGGTGGGGGTGGGGGAACATGTCATGATGGCGCTAACATGTCGGACTGCAGTGATTTGTCCGGAGGATTACCTCGGAGATGTAAGTTAAGGTAGCAAAGTGGGTTGGAGGTGCTGGGGAATTTGCTGGTTTTCAGTTCCTCTGGAGTTGCATCCGAGGATAATTGCTCGAGACCTGCTTCGGAAGTGACTGATATATCGGCTTGAACGGTAGACTTGACCGTACGCCAAGGCACATCTGTGACCGAGTGTGAGGGATGGCCAGGAGCAGATTGTGTGTGTTTGTGCGCAAGGGTCTCGCAGACGTGGGGACGACGCCGCTCGGAATTTGATAGTTTGACATCAGTGAAGCAGTGAGGATGACAGAGTTGAGTGGCGCGTGTTTGATCTGCCTCCAGCTTTCACGGCCGTTCCCGGCGAAAGGTATCCGTGGTTGGAGGGGGCTTCCCATTGGAATGGGCGTTGTTGACCCGGGATCCGGGAAGGGTAATCGACTGATAGGCCCGGGCTCGGATGGAAAGTTGGAACCGTACGAGAGAGACAGTCCCGCTCTAGCTCTTACTTATACGAATAAGTTCCTACCTCCCGCCCCAACGAGGCGCGAGCGTTCCTCGATTATGTTTCATTTGATTTGAGGTACGATGCTGGTACGATGCTGGTAGCGTTGACTAGGGAGGCGAGACATGGAGAGCAAAAATGTAGATGGATGGGCTACTGAGTTCCAGATCAAGATCCGCCGAGTTCCAGATTCAAATGTTGCGCATGTCGATTTTGGGCGGGATAAGGAGTTATAAACTTCCTGAACTGGTGGCTTAGGTGGTATGTAAGCGGGCAGGCTTTACTTAATGTGGACAGAAGAGAGTCTGTGTGATATTTTGGAATCGTTGGACTGGGAGGGTTCGAGTTGGTTAAGGTTTGGACAAGACAGGTGCCTGGGGAAAGGGGGGTTTGTTTGAGAGGTTGATTGACGGTAGCGGCGGCCAGTCGGGCTGTTACGTGTGTCAGTTTGGCGCAAATCGCGGGATTGGAGTTGGGCGCCTGAGAGGAATGCGAATGTGATTACCTGTGGGCGTGGGGGGTTCTCTTTGCGATCGATCGATGGCGACTGCGAAAGGATTGGTAGCTGGTGAGTGAAGATGATGGGAACATGAGAGGTGGGGACGAATTGGAATCAAATGTCAATCCGTCGAGGCTCACACTCTGATAGCAGTTGGGGCAGGACGAAGATGAAGTACTTACTCCGTAATCCGTAGAGGCAGGTGTGCCTGGATTGGCGGCTGGCCAAGTTAAGGTAAAATGGAAGGTACCTTGCGTCTGGCCCTTTCCCACTATTTCAGGTGAGGTCGTCGGCAACGGCACGTCACTGGTCCTTCAATTCGCCTCGAGTGCCTTGAGTGAGGGGTCATCCGCTCTAGCTCCATACCTGGCAGCTACTCTGACCGGATGGGGGTAAATAACACCAAACTAAAGGTAAGAGCTCCAGGGCAGAATATCACCCCGCCTTCCTTGGACGGGCATGTACCTTCCTTGAGGTATCTTTACTGTAGCACCTGGAGTAGGTAGGAACTCAGCTTAGGTAATGAATGCATGTACAGCACCTTGTGGGATACCTTAGGTACGGGCACTGGCACTGGCTCTGGCACTGGCACTTACACTTCCGCACTCGTCCAAGGCAGGGAGATTGATGAGAGAGGGAGAGAAAGAGAAGTGCCTACCTTGTCCAGTGTTGCTGGGTAGAATTGCTCGCTCGATTCAGGTTGGAATCCAGTCCAATGTCGAGCATGCTGGCGAGCCCCGGCAGCTTGTCTCTGTTTGCTGCCACTACTACCCCGTCGAGATTCAGGTCGGGTTACTTGGCCTGCCCCTACCCCACCTCTGATGGGCTTGCTGCTCGATTGCTGCGGTGCGCCTTGCTCGATCTTGGTGGGGGAGAGGCGAGACTCAGCATTTGCACTTTGTATGTACCTTGTCCGTGGCATCAGAACAAGAACAGCAGGTTGGACGGTGATCTACTACCTAGTCACCGTCCAACCTGCTGTGACCACGACTTTCAGCTGTTCTCCCTCTCTCTCTTGATCCAGTGTCAAATGACCCCAAGAGACTCAACAATCATCCGATATACGGATACAGAGACGGGGGATCAAGTACCTTACGGGCAGTTCAGATAGACCAGACAGATGGCTAGACATGCACACATGCCATGTTGGATGCCCCGCGTTCAACCGAGTCCAAGATCAGCTCTTGTGCATGCACGCTGTCTCCCGCTTGTCTCTCTCAGTGTCTCTCTTCCCATCCTATTGTAACCCAGCCAGGCCTTTTGCAAAATGTACCTACCTATGCCACTATGGCTATGGAGTTTGGATTGAACTGGGAACAGGATCGGCCGTCCTTTCCAGCTTGTTCTCGACCCTTTCTGGGCTCGTAGAGTGCTGCCCTCGGCTGTGCCATCTCGATACCGATTGGACGGTGCCGTCCTCGGCCTGCCAATGGTTACGATGCCCTTCCCTGCCCACGCCGTTCCCGTCTAAACGCGGGCGTCAACCAGACTGAACCACTTCCGCCTCCGCCCACCTACTGCGTATGTACTTTCACGCCCACATCCTCCGCCCACCTTCACGGCCGCGGCCAGCAGAAGCTCAACCGTACCTTACCTTCCCACTTATGTATTCGTAGTAAGGTATGTAGCATACCTACCTTGCCTACCTTACTCACTCCCCCTCCGGCATCCGTACGCAGCAGCTTGCAGTAGCTCTTTGCTCTTCCCAATTAACCCTTTTGCTACTACATCATCATCGACCTCAGCTTCCACTGGCTGCCCTTCTCCTCCCTTTTTCTCTCTTTCTCTTCTCTTCCCTTCCTTGTCCCCCTCTTTCTCTACCTCTACCTCTACCTCTACCTACCATATCCTCTCCCTGTGGTTCCCTCATCCCTCAATCCTAGCTTCCCCTCGAGACGCCCAAAAACACCATCACTCAATTGAGCTCTTTGGCGACCCCAATACAACCCAATTCATCACCACGAGCCGTCGTTTAATCTTTTGGTCCCATCTTGTCTCCATTTATCGGTGCGCGCAACGACTCAGTCACCAGTTGCTCCGCTCACCCATTCGCCCAGACGAAGCAAGAGATCCCGCACCTTGCTCACTCATCCAGCGGGCCCTTGTCCCCGAAACCCTCAGACGCGGACGCAGACGCAGCCGCCGCCGCTATCATTCGAGCTCATTCATCCATCTGTCACTTCCGACCAGGGAAAAAAGCAACAACGAACGGCCTGACCAGCACCTGCTAGCACCAAGGCCAAGACCAGATCCCACATCAGACCAGGCCGGATACATCCTACATTATCAGGCCCTGCCTTACACTTTGCCTTGCCTCTTGAGTCTTGAGTCTTGTCACCTTTCCACAAGTTACGACGCAACAAGACCCCTGGAAGAAGAAGAAGCAGCAGTGCGCCAGCTTGAATCATCCATCTGTTCGTCTCCCCGCCCTTCCCCCTCCATTCCAGCTGTCTCCAACAATTCCTCCTCAAATCTGCCCTCTTTTATTCTCCCTCTTTGTTGTTGTGGCTACACCACACTCACTTCTCTCACAACCTCTATCCTTGGATCTGTGCCGCCTTGTCCCGCCCTTTGACCCTGCACTCTGTTGCTCATTGGTTAAACTTCCCATCTGCGGCGTAAACTTACACACTACTTTTTGGGTGCAGCATCCCAAGAGAATAGAAAGCTCCCGATTTTCCCGCTTCTAAGTCGGACAAATACCAATTGCGATTGCCATTTCGCGGTCAACTGAATTGGAACGGGTTTGCTTTGCCTGCGTGCTTGCTCCCTGCTCGTAGTACCTGACTTGAAGGACTCTCGGAATTGTACGTTTCTTCCCCTTGAATCGGATGTTGTTAGAGCTTTCCGTCCTTCCCTTCCATCCCGGTTTACCTTTTTCCCCTTGATCAAAAAAGTATGCGCCAAACCTGGCCCCATTGTTCCTAACGACAATAGGCGCGGCTTTCCCACTTGTACTTGAAAGCGTACTTTAGTAGGAAAGAAGCAAAAGCACAGCTCTCAGCTTTCCCCGCGCTCCTCTTTCGGCCAATTCACTGCTCACCTCACACCCCAAAAAAAGGACACGACCAGCGCAACCGGGCTGTCCCTTGAAGCGACGAATCACTTTGCGACCGTTCCTCCCCCATCATCCAACTGCAAACGTCGTGGGCCCTTGACCTGCGCTTCTACGCCATTTCCTCACGGGGCACGCAGCCCTTCTTCCTTTCCCCGACTTTCATATGCCTACCCTCGGGTTTCTCAAGAAAAAGCGGACGAGGGAGGGTAATCAAGACTCTCAAGGCTCCAGTCTACCTACCAGCCCGGTGACGCCTACCTCATCTAAGCCTTTCGACAGTTCCATCTCGACCACCTTGTCGTCCCTCTCCTCAAACTCCCAGCCGCCTTCCCTGCCTGCACTGAAGCAGCAGGAAGATTTGGATTTGACCTCGTCTTCCGACGGGGCCAAGCAGCAGCAGATGTATCCTGTCACTGTCCACCCGCCCAACCAGTCGGGCTCTCACCAGCCGCACTACAATCAACAAGGTGGATCGCAACAGAACCTCCCAAGCATCAACAACCTAATCAATCCGACTCAGCATGACGCTTCGAACAACGGGCATACCTCCAACAACAATTACCTAGCCCAGCCGACCCAACCCTCCCAGCCGAACCCGAGCCCCGGAACCGATCCCGCGCGACTTCAACAGCAGCAAGCTCAGTCGATGTTACACCCGCCCCAGCCGCCACAACATCAGCAGCAGCAGCAGCAGCAGCAGCAACAGCAGCAGCAGCAGAGCCAGCAACAGCAGCAGCAACAGCAGCAGGGCATGCCACAACAGGTCTCGGACCAGCAGGTCCGTCAGACCAAGGGAAAATACACGTTGACCGACTTTGACATCTTGCGAACGTTGGGAACTGGTAGTTTCGGAAGAGTGCACCTGGTGCAGTCCAAGCACAACCAGCGCTTCTATGCCGTCAAGGTGCTGAAGAAAGCGCAGGTCGTCAAGATGAAGCAGGTCGAACACACCAATGACGAGAGGAAGATGTTGGGCGAGGTCAAACACCCGTTTCTGATCACGCTATGGGGCACGTTCCAGGACTCAAAAAACCTGTACATGGTGATGGACTTTGTTGAAGGTGGTGAGCTGTTTTCGCTGCTGAGGAAATCCGGGGTAAGTTGTAATCTTAAGTGATTTTCTTTCCCACTGGCCCGAGCTGACCTAGCTGATCCCTTTCCACAGCGCTTCCCCAACCCTGTCGCGAAATTTTACGCCGCCGAAGTCACGTTAGCGCTCGAGTATATGCACTCGAGAAACATCATCTACCGAGATCTCAAGCCAGAGAACCTACTACTCGACCGGCACGGACACCTTAAGATAACAGATTTTGGTTTCGCCAAGCGAGTGCCGGACAAGACATGGACGCTTTGTGGTACTCCAGACTATCTGGCCCCCGAGGTAGTTTCGAACAAGGGCTATAACAAATCCGTAGATTGGTGAGGTGGCCTTTTCACAAGAGGTTGCAGTTCTTTCACAATTGCTAACCCCCCGGTCTTAGGTGGTCACTTGGAATCTTGATATACGAGATGCTGTGCGGGTACACACCGTTTTGGGACAGCGGGTCGCCAATGAAGATTTACGAAAATATCCTCAAGGGCAAAGTGAAATACCCTGCCTATATCAACCCGGATGCGCAGGATCTGTTGGAGAAGCTGATTACAGCGGATCTCACCAAGCGGTTGGGTAACCTGTACGCTGGTCCAAACGATGTCAAGAACCACCCGTGGTTCACCGAGGTCACGTGGGACAGGCTGGCTCGCAAGGATATTGATGCGCCGTACACTCCCCCGGTCAAGGCCGGCGCCGGTGATGCCAGCCAGTTTGACAGATACCCTGAGGATCCCGAACGATACGGTTCAGCCGGACATGACGAGTGAGTTGTTTTTTGAGCTGCTGAGACTGGGACCTTTGCTAACGCTATGCTCCAGATATGGCCATCTTTTTACCGACTTCTAATGTCTCGCCTGAGCAAGAGTTGAGCTGCCATCAAAGGTGTTCTCGTGGGCTCCGGTCTACGAGCAGTGTTTGAATAGTATATGTACCTGGCAGACGCCAGAGTCTCAATAGGGATGTCTGCAGTGCTTTGGGCGCCCGGTCGAAGGTTTGGAAAACAAAAAAGGTAAGGACAGCAACGAAGGGGGGGCATTGGGTTGAAGGCTCGAACGGTCCTGGAAAGATGGCAAAGCGCAAGAAGAGCAGACTTGTCACCGTATCACTTGGTTACATCAATACCTAACAACGATTATATTCCAATTGGCCTGGCGGCAGAGCGTTCGATATCAAGGTGTTGTGGTACCACACATTGAGGCCGCCGGATGCAATCCTTGGCAAATGAGATGGGCCTAGACGGAGATGTCCAGGGCGTTGAGGTGGAGATTGGCCAGAAGTGTGCAAAGTGCATAAGATTTCCGGCCTACAAACCTCGACGCTCGTGATGCCTTTCGGGTAAGCAAGCGCTTTTGCTGCAGCATCATGCATACTGATCTACGTATCTGCATTCCCGTTGAATGTGCATGATGCTGCAGTTATCAATGTTTGGTTCAGTCTGGCGTGTGGGTAAGAATTGGCGCCCCGATTCTACGGATGTCCTGTGCAGCGTGGCAGCTTGATGAAATCGCCCACCTCCCCCCCCCCCCCCCACGCTTGGGTGAGCTAAGCGTCCAAACAAGCTCCAATGGGCCCCTTATCCGGGCCTATTAATGCAGAAAGAAACAGCGGTTCGTTCTGGCGGTGACAGAGTGGAGGTGCGGGGATTGGGGCAGGGGCCGCGGGACATAGTGTCGTCGGGTCGGCTCCATCGCTCAGGGGACCTTAGTGCTAGCCCAGTCCTGATTCTGATGTTCAGAGAGGGCTTAGAGGCTTCAAGCTTTGGTAGGCGATATGAAGAAACCCGCCCAAATCCCCGAAATCTTTCCTTCGGCCCTTGCTACCATGCGCTGTCAAGCTGTGGCAAGGTGAGTGTATCCAGTGAGCGATTTCACCGGAGGGATTTGAGGTTGTGGTATCCGTACGGATACTGTAAACTTGACCAATTACAGGGCGGGTTACTTTGGAGTGCAGATTGTTGCATGGGCCGGACTGGACCTGGCCCCGAAAAAGACCACCACCGCTGCTGCTTCTTGCTGCAGACATGGTGCAAAGTCACGGGGCTGGGCGCGGCTTATGAAAGGAGCCCGGTCTGGAGCCATGAACTCAACCTGCAGGAGCCTCCAGACCTCTTTGCTCTTTAGTTTCTCTTTTCGTTTTCTGGAAGTAGCCTTGTTGTTGATTTGTCTTTCCCCCCCTTCTCCCGTGGAATAATTGTATCAAAGCGTGGCCGGGTAACGACTCAATTGGTTCAAGATGGACGACTACATGTTCCGCGAACATGTCAGCAAGTGCCGCCAAGTCTCGGAGGCAACGCACTATGTCGAGATTCTCAATTACTCGGTGAGTTGCCAATCACGCGCCCTTCCAATAAACAGAGAACAATGGGATGGAGAGCCCCTGGCACCGGTGTGAGGTTAATGAGCGTAAACTAACTCAATTGATAGGACGCTTTTTACAATTCGTGCGAGGAGCATCCCTTGACCATGGATGAGTTTGATAACTTCTTGCATCGCCGGGTACGGACGGGGACCGTGTAATTGTTGCTCACGCTCAGTGAGATTGAACTTCATGGGAGCTGTGAATCACTAACATAGTAAACCTGACAGGGCGCTTTTGAGCCACCGAAGCTGAAGGAGGGCGTCAAATTGCTCAATGGCATTCGATTGGTGTCCGCGACTCCCCATCCATCTTGCTCACATTAGAGCTTCAAGCTGACCCATCCCAGGCTTCAAAAGAATGCCAAGCACAAGGACACATTTACGCCTCACACCATTTCCTTCACTGCGGATGCATACCAGTCCATGGTCCGGGCTATGCGACTGCCGTTTAGAGCCATCGAGGGTACCAGCGTTGTCGGCCCCTTTTTCTGGTGCGCCTACGACCAGGACGATGAGGATCCCACTCTGCGTTGGTGTTGTCCTTTTTCCTATTGAGTCGAGAGAGTTACATCGATAGACTAATGCCGCTCTCTAGAAATCATCTTCCGCAAGTCCGACGTCCGGAAGAAGGGCAAGACGCGCGGGTGGGAGCTCATGCTCTCCCACTGCTTCAGCACCGGCATCACGTCGGGCTACGTCAAGGGCACCCCGAGCTCCGACATTGTCGCGGCCATCCAGCACCTCACCTTTTGCGCCCAGCAGGCCGGCCACCCGATGCTCCTCCCCATCATCATCCTCTCGCACGACCTGTCGTCGACGACAGACCAGAAGCAGCGCGACGCGCGCGATTGGCTGCGCAAGCTGGAGCACGCCGTCAGCATGCGCAACGAGATTGAGGACGAGGAAGGGTACGTCAGCCAGGACGGGCACCTCGAGGTCGACGCCATCAGCCGTGATCTCGTCGAGTGCCACAGTCAGGTTCTCTGGAAGCGGCCGCAGGCGTACCAGGCCATCGTCAAGGAGATTGATGCCGGGCTGGTGAAGTTTAAGGAGAAGGTGCCCAAGGAGCACGATACGCCGCTCATTGATAAGCTTCACCGGAGCATGGTGGCGCGATTGCAGTTTTACAGCTTGAAGTTGACGGGTATTGAGAATTATCAGGCGACGACGTTGGAGAGGTTGCATATCCAGCGTAGTGCGGTATGTTGTCTCGACTCCTCATCCTGGCTCACTACTTCTTTGGGGGTGGGGGCTGCTGGGATGCTCTTTTGAGTTGAATGCTGACGGTTGAGACAGCTGTATAACCTGCTTTCCCAGCGAGAGTCTAAGATTCAGTTCCAAATGGCTGGTGAGCAGCGACGACTTGCGCATGCGAGTAAGCGAGACAGCACGGCGATGAAGACGATTTCGTTACTCGGTGCCGTCTTTCTTCCCGGCACATTTCTCGCGTCTGTTTTTAGCATGACGTTTTTCGACTTTGCCAAAGGTACGTATTGTGGTCTTCTTGTCATAACAACACAGCAATCTCGACTTAGGGGGGGGCTAGGTAATTCCGGTTGAAAAATTTCTTGTTTACTGACTTTCAGGGTAGATGCCGACCCTGTCATCTCCAAGGAACTGTGGGTGTACTTCGCCATCACCGTGCCCCTGACGATTCTCATCGTTGGCGGGTGGATCGTATTTGACAGGCGGCGCGAGAGCCAGTTCCGCGTCGAGGACGCCGATCTGGAGAGGAATATCGAGCATATGGAGGCTGATATCATGGCCATGATGCGGAAGCGGACGATGAGCAAGGCGAATACCTGGACTTCGGTCACGTCGCCCATACGGCCATGATGGGCGGTGGGCATGGCTCGTGGTGGCCATGTGGGGAAGAAAGACCCACTGAAGATGCAAAAAGAGGCTTGTGAGAGAGAACGACTGACTTTAACATTCTGAAGAGGTGGGTATATAGATGGTGGGTGGATGGTGGATGGATTTTGTGTAAACTATCGCTATCACGCCCTTATGACCTGACGACATTTATGAGCGAACCATATTATAACAAATTTGAGCGACACATATATACATATGTAATACTAGCATAAGTGAGTTTGATCATTGAGTGATTAGACAATCTGTCATTCTACACCACATGAATCTTCAAGATGGGGTGAGCCAGGATGAACGCGAGTGCGAGCATGAGTTTGGCCACACCCCGAGCCGTTGCGGCCCGTCCCTGATAATTATGTTCGAACGGTATTCAACACAGGTACAGGGTCCCGATGATAGGACTAGATAGTACATATGAATGCAATCAATATCATGAGTTGGTATCGTCTGTATCTATCACTGTATTAGATCTATGACCAACGATTTGAGATGGAGAGGGCGATTGAAGCTAAAGGATACATGGATGATGTTGCAGACGAAGAGAACCGGCACTAACACAATGAGGGGTTCACATTTTTTGGCGGGGTTGATACTATCGATAAGGGGGTCCCCAGGGGTCGGGTTCGTTGCGGTCAGGTTCTGGGCTTTTGCTTCTGTTTCTTTACCGCTAGAACGAACCCTGTGACGACATCCCACATCATCCGGGGGGGGAGGGGAGAAAGGAGAAAGGAGACTGGACGCCTCAGCTCACCACTTCCCAGTCGTGGTCCCCGCTACTTACAAGCTGCCACGATTCGATGCCCAGTCTGCCAGTCGAAGCTCGAACGAGCTTTATACCGGTCCCCCCTGAAGAAGAGAAAGGAGTGACCGTTGCCCACCCTTGCCAAGCTGAAACGTAACTGGATTCTCTATTTTTTGCCCAAGCGGCGTAGCGGGTCGAAAAACAAGATTGTCACCCTCTCATGGCGTTTTTGTTCCCAGGTCCCCTACCCATGGATCATCACCCACGGAAAGCAACGACTGGACCTCTTATTTTAGGCTGGGGAAGGGGGAGCTTGGGGCGCGGGTTGACGTACTGCCCACATATTGAGAAGTAGGACGTTCGGGACAGCGAGCCGAGTACCTAGTTAGAGTAGCTTGGCTTTCTGGCTTGACTTACGTAGCTCCTTTAGCTCTCTCTCTCTGAACCTGGAAACCTTCTTTGCCCTTTCTTTCTTTGCAGTATCACAAGCTCGCGCTACCTATGCCTAGTGGCTGATTGATACCAGGACACGAGACGCGGATTGTATCTCGTGGTTCAGCTTGCGTCAACCATCGTCTCACTATTCTTGTTTTCTCGCTATTCTTCGCAAATTTATTCCTGATCACCCTTTTTTGGCGTCTTCTCTGTTCCATTCTCTCTGTCTCTCTTCTTCACCGCCTCATCGAACTCATCACCACACAAAACCAGATCATGGCGGATACAGCAGCACCAACAGCACCAGCAGCGGCAACAGCACCGGCAGCTGCCCCTCTGCCCCAGGGCACCATCGTGTCCGCAACATCGGATCCCTCCAAACCCTCGCTGCGATACCAGGCCGGCGGCGGCGCCAGCGAGACGGAGCGCACCGTCAAGACACTTGGCGACTCGGTCATACCGCACCTGACAAAGATCTTCAACGTCCACGCCGGTCAGGACGACAAGAAGTGGCACAAGGAGCAAATTGCCTCGTTTGTGAAGAACGTCCAGGCCGAGGAGACGCCCGAGTGCCTGGTCGCCAACACATCTGAACCAGGTGCAGCGGCATCACCGCCAGAGGAACTCGACTTCAACGGCTTCCTCAACTACATGACCTCGTCCGCCTCGGCAATCACCCGCCCCGTTCACGGGGAGGACCTGTCGTACCCGCTCTCGAGCTACTTCATCAGCTCCAGCCACAATACCTACCTGACGGGCAACCAGCTGTACAGCGAGTCGAGCACCGACGCGTACAGGAACGTGCTGGTGAGGGGGTGTCGGTGTATCGAGATTGACGTCTGGGATGGCGACGACTCAGACAATGAGGATGGCACGTCGGTGAGTAGCAGTGACGAGGAGGCCGTTGCCTCTGCTGCTGCTCCGGGGCAGGCGAAGCCGAAGAAGGAGAAGAGGAGCAAGCTTGCGATGCTCAAGGATAAGATGCCCGGTTCGCTGGCGAGTAGGCTGGAGAAGACTTCGTTGGGGAAGAAGATGGATGAGAGGATTGAAAAGTCTACGAGCCCGCCGACGGAGACGGCCACCACCCGGTCAGCCGTTACCGCTGCCGCTCCCACCCCGGCTACGGCTACGACTACCGCCTCTGTCGCGGAGAGCACCACCGCCACAACCATCCCCAAGGAGACGGCTCCTAGAACGGAGCAACCGCCGCTGCAAAAGACCCCTTCGCCGAGGATGTTCCCCATCGAACCACAAGTCTTCCACGGCTACACGCTCACCAAGGAGGTGCCCTTCCGGCACGTCTGCGAGACGATCCGCGACTACGGCTTCCACTCGGCCGACACGCCCCTCATTGTCAGTCTGGAAGTGCACTGCAGCGCCGAGCAGCAGGAGATCATGGTGAAGATCATGGAGGACACTTGGGCGGGCCTGCTCGTCCCCACACCCGACGTCGACGCCCCCGAGTTGCCGCGGCCCGCGGACCTGATGGGCAAGATCCTCGTGAAGGTCAAGTACGCACCACCGCCGGGAGGCGCTGGCGTGACTGGCGCGCAGGACGAAGACTCGGAAGAGGACGGCAAGACCACGCCACCGGCACCACCACCAACAAGCAAAAAGGCTGCGGCGAAACCCTCCAAAATCATCCAGGCGCTCAGCAGGCTGGGCGTCTACACCCGCGGCGTGTCTTTCAAGTCTCTCACGCAACCCGAGGCCTCGATGCCGACGCACATCTTCTCGCTGTCGGAGAAGGGCGTCATGGAGGTGCACGAAAAGCAGGGGGACGCGCTCTTCCACCACAACCGACACTACCTGATGCGCGCGTACCCATCTGGCCTGCGCATTGGGTCGTCCAACCTCGACGCGGCCGTCTTTTGGCGCAGGGGTATCCAGATTGTCGCGCTCAACTGGCAGAACTGGGACGAGGGGATGATGCTCAACGAGGGCATGTTTGCGGGTACCAAGGGTTATGTTTTGAAGCCTGATGGTGGGTTATCCTTTTTTTTTTTGTCATCTCTCAAGAACATTAAACTAACGTCAATCCATAGGATACCGTTGCCTCAAAACCGGCTCTACTCCAGACCCATCATCACCCACCACCCCGCAAATCACCTACAAAACCCTCGACCTCCAAATCGACGTCCTCGCAGCCCAAAACCTGCCCCTCCCGCCAGGCGACACCCGCATCTCGGGCTTCAAGCCCTACGTCAAGGTCGAGATCCACGTCGAGTCCCCCGAAGAGCGTCTCCCGGGCGCGCACATCAAGGACGACGGCCGCGAGCGCGAGAGCGAGTACAAGGCGAAAACCAAATCGAACCGCGGTGTCGACCCGGATTTCAAGGGGGAGAGCCTACAGTTCGCTGGGGTGCCGGGTGTCGTCGAGGCCCTGACGTTTGTGAGGTTCACCGTTAGGGACGATGAGATTGGGCGGGATGATTTAGCTGCGTGGGCGGCGGTTAGGTTGGATCGGCTGAGGGCCGGGTACCGGTTCGTACATCTCATGGATTGCGAGGGACGGTTGACGGACGGAGTTGTGCTTGTGAGGGTTACCAAGAAGTTGACGTGAGTTTTGCTGGTCCCCTCCCTTCTCTTGGGAGGGTGACGGTATGAATGGGTCGAGGTGTTTCCATAGCGTAGCATTATGAGCATTCAAATTGGAGCATCATTATCAGATTGTGGATTTCGCCCCCCCCCACCCCCCCCTAATGCAAATATCAATCAGTATCGGATCATTCATCATCAGATAAGTTAGGTTGGTCGCTGGTGAATCTGGTATCGACATCAGCATGGCACGGCTCAATCTCAAGTTTGATGGACACAAACAAGTAGCGACACCGGAAAAGGTGGTAATTTCAAAGTAAAGGATCGGGCACTACAACGCAAACAAGTTATCGTTTCTCACTTGCGCATATTGGAATGAAAGATGCGTAGTTTCACATGATATTAATCTCTCATTTAGAGGTTCGCTAATACATAATCATCATCATAAAGATGAAAAGGGACTCCCACATCAGAAGCATCCCTTTCAAGACAGAGTCGTTTTTTTCCACCACAAACATTACGATACAAGAAAGACGAGAGCCACTAGACTAGCAGCATCTAGTAGTCGTCGTTGTTCCCGTACCCGGCGTTCTCCCGCTTCGACTGGCCCTTGGACTCGAGCTTGTCGCTGTTGAGCAAATCGCCCGCCTTCTCGAGGAACTTGCCGACCTTGCTGTCGCCGCCGCTCTTGTTGTTGCTGCTGCCGTACGAGTCAGAGGTGTCGTTGTCTCTGCCGCTGCTGCCGTAGGAGCCCGTGTTGCCGGAGGAGCCGTAGCTGTCCTCGTTGTCCTTACGGGAGGAGCCGTAGGAGCCAGTGTTGCCGGAGGAGCCGTAGCTGTCCGAGGTGTCGTTATCCTTGCGGGAGGAGCCGTAGGAACCAGTGTTTCCTGATGATCCGTAGCTGTCATCGTTGTCACGGCGAGTGGTGGAGGAGCCGTAGCTGTTATCGTTGTCGTTGTCCTTGCGGGAGGAGCCGTAGGATCCCGTGTTGCCGGAAGAGCCGTAGCTGTTGTCGTTGTCGTTATCGCGGCGGCTGGAGTTGGTGTTGCCGTACGAAAGGGAGTCGGCGCCGGCGAGGTTGGAGGAGGTGGAGTCGTCTCCGTAAGACGAGGTCTTGTTGCCGGAGCCGTAGGTGTCGTTGTCCGACTTGCGGGAGGAGCCGTAGCTGTCAGAGGTATCGTTGTCGCGGCGAGAAGAGCCGTACGAGTCCGAGGTATCGTTGTCCCTGCGAGACGAGCTCAGGCCGGAGGAGCCGTAGCTGTCCGAGGTGTCGTTGTCACGACGGGTCGACGAGCCGTAGCTCGATTCGTTGCCGCTGCGGCCCGTGTTGGAGGAGCCGTACGAGTCGTCATTGTCACGGCGCGAGGAGCCGTACGAGTCCTCGTTGTCGCGGGTGGAGGAGCCGAAGCCGCCAGTGGTTCCTGAGGTGCCGTAGCTGTCCTCATTGTCCCTGCGGGAGGAACCGTAGTTGGACTGGGGACGATTGTTAGTAATGGCAGCTTTGGGGGGTAGGCGTGTCCCAGGTGTATTTCACTTACGTCGTCGTTGCCGCCGTAAGACATGATGTGTAAAGATTGGGAGGTGGTTTTTGGGTGTAAGTTGAGTTGAGATGAGATGATGATGAGAATGTGCTTAGCTACAATCTCGCTCGATGAGATTGAGGGGTTGAAGGGTATTTAAGAATCTAGATCGACTTCAGGCTGTGCCATGATGCCAATTACACTCCCACATGCGTTGGACCCTGTTATTCCAAGCATCCATCCCCCCCCATTTACCCGTAGGACTCTCCGGGACCCTCCTCGATCGACAAGGCAGTGGTCCATCGAGCGAGGGTCGCACGCTAGGAAGATGCACGTTTACGCCATACCTGGGACCCCGTCATCCGCCTGTTAGGGGCTCGGGAGTTGGGGGCAGGGAAAGAAGGAATGAGAGGTGTAGTGGGAAGCTTGTTTGGTCACTCTGAGAAACCGGTCTTTTGCCTTGCCTAGCTGAAGGGGATGGGGACCACCATGGGGTGGTAATCTGGGAGACGTTGGACCATGTCGCGCCACTTGGCACGTCAATTGGAGAAGCGTTTGTGTATGCGTCCTCCTAGGACCAAGTTGGACTAGACCAAGATGCTGTCCTTCAGCTTTGAAGGGGTGTGTCTTAGATGGCCAGGCGGGCAGAGCAGGACCAGGCTGCGGGATAGAACTGTATGAAAGTGGACTGCGAGATCCTTGATTTTCCCTTTCCGAGAGACGTGCGGACAAAAAAAGGAAGAGAGCGTTCATGACAAGCAGCTCGGCAAGCATCGTCATGAGCGGGAGTAGATGCCGTCCTTTGCGTCTTGTCGTGAGTGAGGAAATGATAGCAACCAAAGCGTTAGCTATCATCTCGAGGTTTGGCGCAGAGTTGATGGGCTCGGGTAACTGGCACCTGGTCCACCATTATGTCGTCATTCCGGAGACACATTAACGCATCTCCAAGACGGAAAGGTGGGATCGAGAAACACCATCTTTCCTGACGGGCGTAATACTGCGACTTGCAGTTGACGTGTCGGCAGCGCCAACGTGCCAGCGATGATGTGCGATCAAGGCACGCAATAGTCTCATCCGCAGGAAAGCCGGTGACACTTGATGTCTCTAGTCGTGTACCCCCGCTACAGCTAAGAAAAAAAAGGCAGGGTACTCAAGGTGTCGAGCTTCGAGAGCTTTTGGCGCGCTAGCTCTGCCAAGAAAACCTGATTTGAGCAAACATGGGACGGTACCAAGAGAGAGCTGGCGTCTTTTCCTGCTGCAGTAGGTAGCATGTAATACTGCAGTAGGTTGAACTACCCGGTTTTTTTCGGCATGGCATCACATTGGTCTGGAAGCAGACACATCGGGAAGCACTGCTGGTGTGAATGAGACGAATCGGGCTCCCTCCCCCCCCTTTTCCCTTTTCGCCATCCTCCCGTCCCTTTCCTTCCCAAAAGTGAGGTACCCTAACGGAAGAATGGGACAGTTGGGACTTCCTCCCACGGATTCGGCGCCGCCGGCGACGTCATCTTGGAACCCCACCTGTGCATCCAATGGTTGGATGGAGATGGTGGATCGGCCTGGACTCCGGTACGGCGGTACCCCACCCGCCAGCTCGACAGGGGTTGACTGTGCCCTGCGCTCTCTCTCAGGGTGCAGAAACTCCTCACAACCCGCGTCAACGACACCATCACCAGCTGAGGTTTGCGATATTACCTGCAGCTGGCTAACTGCTTGGCTGGTCCAACTATGTCTCCACGTGCGCACGGCGAATCGGCGGGCCCCGCAAGGGCGATGTCTTTGATCTGGCTGGAAGATCATGCCGGCTTCTTTTGTTGTAAGGTAGACAGACTCTGTAGTTGGATGTCGCCTTGGAGCTTAGCTCTTTCAAGACAATCTAGGTACCCCGCGATGTCTGGAGCTATGACCTTTACCGCTGGCGCGTTCTGCGCTCCTGGCGGCCTCCTCATTTTCCCGTCCTTATTGAGTTCCCTCCTTGAGCGACGCAAAACATTGTAGATGCCGTCGAGGGGAAAGCTCCCTTGGGTACTCGTGAAGACGGCAAAGAGATGATTTCTGATGAGTTGCCTTGTGACAATCATGCGAACTAGCTCCGTTCATTGACATTTTCTTGACAGGACCGCGATTTTCCAGCCATATACAAACCACGGCTAACAAATACCCTTGACATTCGCCGCCCTTCATCAATCCGCTTGCCTACATTTTCCCCACGGAAACGCGCAATGGATGTCTCGTGGGAGATTCATTCTTGAGAACAACCCACTTACATTGGCGTCGCAACTCGTGCCTTATTCACTTACATCCAGCAACTCGAGGCTGATAACCTCCATATTTCATAACCGGAAGATCATAAAGTAAGAGATCATATACACTTATTCGCTAGCCCTACAGGATGCAACAATCGCAATGCAGGATCTAGCGTAACCCGGGCGTAGCTCAACAGAACTAGGCTCTAATATGGCGTGCAGATGCCACTCGCTCCTTGTCCGAGCGAGCATGCATGCTAAGGCTGGCTTTCCGACACCGCGAAGCATCTTGAGTAGATTTTTTGGTATGTGTGAGACGCCGAGATGTCCTTAAGCTCCTGGCACCTATAAAATCCCATCATGGCAAGCACGAAATTGTGCAAGATGACATGATCGGTCAAAGCTTCCACCAGACATTACTACGCCGGTCTCTATATTCTTTGAGGGAATTTCAAGCTTCTAGTTCATTTCTGATTATGGGTCTTGGAAGATCTCTAGCTCTAAACAGACATGTAACACGAATACATAACCTCGCCCTTTGAGGGACGGTCCCTGACACACTCAACCCAGACGTTAACGAAAAAGAGAAAGTTCAACAGAAAAGCAATGGTTCTATGTAGATCGTGACACTACTCGGGGTCCGGTGACCTGTCACTCGTCTATGGACAAAGCACTTTCTCCTCTATCCTATGTGGTAATTACCACTGCTGATTTCTCAACGATAAACTTGGTGACACTTGGCGGTTCCGCAAACCATTAATATCCTGCCGGCTCGCGCTTGACCGGGAAAGCGGACGCATCATGGTTCCCACGGCATTCGTTCTTCCAGTCAACAGGTGTGTACTTGTCGACAATCGACTTAAAGGCGGCCTGGGCTCGGGTCAGCTACACAATCACTTCACAAACGAGGTCTGGAAGCTTACCAGAGTACAAAAGGACTCATCGCCTTCAAGATGGTTGCCAACAGCCTTGCAGCCGGGGATGGTCACCGGCTCGTCATTGTATCGAAGCCTTACGTAGTAGCCGTCTAGCTTCTTCTTCTCGGTATCGGTCAATGCGGGGGTCGGCTTGCGACCAATGCCTGGCGGAGCCGTACCCGGCGCCGTCGTGCCAGCACCGCCGGCGGGGAACCACGAGCCGAACCAGCTCGCTTTCTTGGGTGCCTGCGTTGGAATTGATGGAACCCGGGGATCGCGGAACATCTCAACAGCGATATGGCTCGTGAAAGGAGGCCATTTATCTGGACCAAAGGCACCCAGGCTGGCTAGTATACCCGCAAGGGTGGTATCATGGCAGCCGCTCATACCAAATCTGATGGGCTTGGGAGCTGCGCTAGCTTGCTTGATCTCGTAGGCTCCGTCTGCCGGGCTGTGTTCGACGCTTCCAACCATACGAGCAACAATATCGCCCATCAAGCCACCTATGCCAAGTGTGCGATACTCTTGGCTCTCGCCGTATCCGCTATACCATTCTTCTACGCCAATTTTCTCAATGATGGAGAGTACCTTGGGATCGTAGAACTCCGAGGGAAGCTTCGTCTTCGGGCCGTGTGCACGTGATGCATTGATGGTATCCATGATTCCACTAAGCCTAGGCTTAGAGTCAACTGCAATGAGTTTACCATCTTCCATCCATTTCCCGAGCTTCTTGTTCAAGTAGCCCATCTCTGGAGTGTTGTTCCATCGCTCGGCAGTTCGCTGGGCGAATGCGCGGGCGAGAATATTGAATCGCCGGCAATGGCCTTCGTTGGGAAAGAGAGTCTCGTCTGGCTGTACCCGCCCTAGGATCGTGAGTGCAGGGAGATCGGGTGCCCGGTGCCGAGCCGGATATAGGCCAGAAATGGCTTGTTGAAGAGACTCCAGAGCTCGCGGGACGGGCGTAGACCTAAGATACAGAGACTCCGCGTCGGTGAGGTCTGTGGGCAAAAAGCCGAGTCGATCGACGTAGAGATCACGAAAGCGTCTGCCTAGTTGGTGAGTGGTCTCTCGGCCGCGGTCCGTAAGCATGCCATGATCACAGATATCGTCAAGCTCTCCATTGGGGCCGGTAACGATTATGGGACTGTCATCTCTAGAACCGAATCCCTCGAGACGCCTCTTCCAATCAAGGTATGAGTATTCACCGGTGCCCGGATCGAGAACAGCATTTCGAAGGTGGCGAACGACACTACAATAGGGCCAGTACTCCGGAAGGCCGGTGTTGGAAAACCGAGGGTTGACAGGAGTTCGTTCGCCGTGCCGGAGGAGGATCTGCACCAGCTGGAGCTTGAGCTGTGGAGGGTACAGCTGGCGCAGCTCGGTGTCGGTGTAAGGTTGGCGAGGTTCAAGGGTAGTCATAGCTTCGGAGATTATTCTACGGCTCGGATAGGTAGATGAGGGAGATCAGGGAGCCCGGAGGAATGCTTGCGAGACGAGGCCAGCCGCGGGGGGAGCACAAAGAGTAAGCTCAACAAACAGGGTAATGCATGGGACGACGACAATGGCAATGGAGGGTGGGAAACGAAGCTCGAGAACTGTTTGTGTTTGTGACGAGACGTTGGGGGAATCTGTTTGGCGAGGCGGTTTGATCTAAGCCTCCTTGAGCCTCCTTGTCCTTCCTTGGATACTGGAGGGCAGTTGGGTAAGGTAGGTAGGTACCTTGTGCTTGCCTTACGTACTCCATACTGCAAATCGCAGACGATGCACTGGATTTCGCGGGGCAGGGATGCGACACTGAAGCCGGGCCAACATGGCAGTCGCGGTCGCGGGCGGGTGAGGCTTTCCATTGGGTTGGCGGCTTAGCCTGGCAATGACGTCC